GCCAGCGGTAGGCTCGTCTCTGGCCAGAGATTGTAAGACCGCAGTCGCGGCCACAAGAGTCTCGTCCGCACCAGTCATTATGCCCTGCGATGGTTAGCGAGCGAGAACGACTCCATGATGACGAGAAACCAAGCAACCCTTAACCCAGATTCCAAAAGAAAAGGATGCCCAAGAGAAGATAAAACGACTCCAAAAATGGCCGAGCGAGGTGGCCGACATGAACCCCAAATAGGGAGTTCGGGGGAGAGGGGAGGGGGGAGGAACTTGGGGGGGTGCCGACGCGGGAGTTCAAACTTACCGGACGGGGGAGGGTTCTGCCACAAAAGATAGACGAAGGGATCTAGGACGACATGGGGCGTAAAAGGGGGATCTTAGACCAAGAAAGAGGAAGTTGATACGGCCCGAAATATTCGGGCAGAGAGGGGACGATAGATAGCAGAGGTAAAGGTTTGTGTCGGGGAGACGAAGGAGACCAAAGGGGGGAGAGTGCTCGGTTATGTAATCACTTGCGCTCTTTTTTTTTTGCGGGGGGGAAAAAGACAAGGAAATAAGATACACAAATACCAATAGAAAAAAATAAAATAAGAAATGAAGAAGCTCTAACAAACTTTAAGGGGATAATGGGGAGAAATTTTGGAAAATCGAGGACAGAGAGAGAGAGAGAGAGAGAGAGAGAGAGAGAAGGGGAGGGGAATATGATTGGGGATTTCAAAAGGGGCGGCGATGCCGACTGTTTTTTTTCCCTTCTCTCTGTCTTCGTGTCTTTTAATGTCTCTGCTTCGCTACCTATTCTAATGGGTCAAAACTACTCCGTACAGACAACTGGTGCTCTCGTAATCCGTACACCATACCCTGCACGCCCCAACCCACAGCAACTTACTTCCCGGCAGAAACGGAATCATGGATTTGGCTCGCACGGACAAGTGCAGGCAATAGAGTTTCCAGGAGGACCAGGGTGCTGGAGAATATGGGAATAAGGCCCTGAGCCGTTTCATCTCCCTTTGGCCCGCTGGCTATCGAACGAGTAACCTTGAAAGCGTGATGATCGCCGCTGGGACTAGGGGCGATCGCAAGTCCGTCTCGTCATCCCGGCAAGTTAGTTGTTTGAGTTGTCAATAGTCTTTTCCTCAACTACTCCCCATATGGAGTATTCCACAAATCCACTGGAAATCCCCCCGATCACCATGATCACCGGCCCAATAATTCCCACATGGGATTCAGAGGTTCGAATAGTCGGTAGTCCCGAGACTTCAAAGGAACGGTTCTTGCGGGTGGACTTTAACTGGGTCCGAACCTTAGTCCCAACCAGTGAGAAAGAGCGGTGCGTTGCTGTCTCGGGGCGAGTCTGCCACCGTTCCGGAGTTGTTTGATGTCCACCTTCGCTAAGGATACTGGCCTCTATTTTGGTGGCTGAGACGGTGCTCTCCTAGCCTCGTGCACCGAATAGTCGCTGGACAGTTACTGAAAGTCACTGGAAGTCACTGGATACTGGTGGAGGAGAAGGTTCAACGGTCGCTGTGAGGTGTACTTGGTTGCTGGTATCCACTAATTCGGTATCACATCACCTGAGGGATTTTGCGAAATGGCCACAAGATAATGACAACACGGCTGCATGATTGCAGGTCAAGTTGCCGGTGCCAAGAGATCACCACTCCAGATATTAAACCGGTCAAGACATGCTCAGAGCACACGTCAGGATGAAAGTACTTAACTCGGACGCACTGACGTTCGATATTGCCTCTGCTGCATGCGTAGCCTCTCGATGAAACGGCCACGCCACTCAAGAGTAGACAACAGCATCGGAGGGAAAAAGACGCGACTGGCGAGGAGTGAGCCAAGATATTCCTCATCGGCGATAGAGCAGGATAAGCAAAATAGGTATTGAAGGCTTCTTCCCGACAAGGATTAGTCCAGGAGGAGAGTGGGAGAAGGGGAGAAAGTACAAAGACTAATCAACCGAGCGAATCGGATGATCACTGATTCATGACTCGAGAAGTGAATGAGTAGATATCAGATCGATCAATAAATTCACACTGTGGACCACATATGTACTTCGGTATGTACTTCAGATAAACATGGTTAAATGTACTCCATACATGTATACATACACCCAACTACTGGTGGGGTGAAACAGCGCAAGTGGTCGCTGTGCCCACCGCACCGAAACTGGAAAAGAGTCATCGTAATTTTGGCGGGCACCAGACCCAAAGACTGACCTCGTTTCCCTACGCTCCCTCTCAGATTTCGACAATTTCCCTGCAGGAAAAGGTCGCAGCCATGGCGTCCGACCTGACAGCCCCGATCCTGGACGCTCTGTCCGCCTCCGATACCCCCATCCTCTCCAGCGAAGCCTTCCCCTCCGACCCCTCATTGAAGGTCAAAAGTGCGCTGGACCGCCTGGCCACCCGACAGATGGTCGAATATGAGACTATCGACAAGGAGATCATTGAACTCACCCCTGAGGGTGAAGAAATTGCGACCAATGGCAGCCACGAGGCCAAGGTTTTCGACGCCGTCGTCAAGGCCCTGGATGGTCTGAAGATTGCCGACTTGCCCGCCATTGTGGGGAAGGATAACGCCAAGGTTGGCCAGGGCAATGCCTTCAAGCAGGGCTGGATCAAAAAGGACAAGGACTTGCTGCGGGCAACCCGCGAGTCGATCGTTGATCTGACCCGCGAAACCCTTCTCTCCGTGCAGCGGACAAACACCCTGGAGGATACCAAAGCCATTGCGGACCTGAAGCGGAGGAAATTGATCACCCTGACCAAGGCTATCACCTTCAAGATTACCAAGGGTCCCAAGTATGCCCGTGAGTTCGTCAAGGAGGAGACCGATCTTACCTTCGACATGCTCTCCAACGGAGCGTGGAAAGATATCGAATTCAAAGCCTATAACTTCAGCGCCAAGGGTGCTCTAACGCCCTCCGGTGCCCTGCACCCTTTGAGCAAGGTGCGCGCGGAGTTCCGCAACATCTTCTTTGAGATGGGTTTCGAGGAGATGCCCACCAACCGCTTTGTCGAGACTGGTTTCTGGAACTTCGATGCTCTTTTCGTGCCCCAGCAACACCCTGCCCGTGATCTCCAGGACACCTTCTACATCGCTGATCCCCTTACCGCCGATGGTCCTCGCGAGGACCCCGCCAACGACCCCCACTGCCCCAAGAATACCCAAGATAAGCCGCTCGACTACAAGAAATACTGGGACAACGTGCACGATGTCCACGAGAAGGGCAAGTTCGGCTCAATCGGCTACCGTTACCCATGGAGCGCGGAAGAGTCCCTGCGCCTGGTTCTCCGTACGCACACCACCTCCATCTCGGCGTACATGCTGCACAAGCTCGCTGCCAACCCGCGGCCGGCCCGCTTCTTCAGTATCGATCGTGTCTTCCGAAATGAGGCCGTCGATGCCACTCACTTGGCAGAGTTCCACCAAATTGAGGGCGTGATTGCTGACTTCGGTCTCACTCTGGGTGGTCTGATTGGATTTATGGAGGTCTTCTTTGCCAAGATGAACATCCACCAGCTTCGTTTCAAGCCTGCTTACAACCCCTACACCGAGCCTAGTATGGAGATCTTCGGCTACCACGAGGGTTTGGGCAAGTGGGTGGAGATCGGTAACAGTGGTATGTTCCGACCTGAGATGCTGGAGTCGATGGGCATCCCCAAGGGTATGCAGGTCTACGGTTGGGGTCTGAGTCTGGAGCGACCCACTATGATCAAGTGAGTTTATAAACGAAACTGCTTTATCTTTCTGGATTAATCACTGACATGTTGTTTTTAGGTATGGTGTCAGCAACATTCGCGAGCTGCTTGGTCACAAGGTCGACTTGAACTTCATCGAGTCTAACCCGGCTGTGCGCCTGGAGAAATAAGACCAACACCCAAAATCAGCACGCCTGGATTGCATCAATTGTTTATAGACCAAAAATTTCTGTGCTATGTTGTGTTTTGCCTAAAGAGGCTATGAAGTTAAGACTCATGGCTCTTTTTTGGGAATGACGAGTTCATGCGGAAGGTCATGTTTGCATGTCAATGAAATGGACGAGGAGAAACGAATAAAAAATCGATTATGTCTCTAAACAGTCCACTGTAAAACTTGAACATGGAGCAAGATGACAGTCCAAGAAAAGGATACGTAAAAAAAAAGATCATTGATGATAGTACGGGAGAGGTCAAATTTCGAAACCGAAATGGTCAACGGGATCAAATTGGTATGGAATAAGCTACTAGTTAATCGGGGTTTACGTTGAGGGAGTTATCCCTTGGTCTAAAATCATAGATTTAAGTGTCCCACCCGTATCTGTGCCCCAGTGCATTGAACTCTGCAACAGTGGCTCTTCAGTAGGCGGGGAAGAAGGTAATCTTCGGCGATGGATAGTGAAACAGCTGTTTCTACTTCCTCGCTCATGGAGACGCAGACAACAAAAACACAGACCGGGTTACGATCCGGTTTTTCGAGTCCACAAGAATGAGGAAGCCTTGATATGCCGATAAGATAAAAAATGGGGAAATAGGACGGGATGGGATGGGGTGGAATGGGAAGATGAAGGAATTATTCAAGTTTTTGAGATTTGATTTTGGGGCTTTTGTTTCATGATCATGAAGAGGGCTGCGAGAAAGGAAGAAAGCCCTGAAGGGAAGGGGGGGGGATTCTCTAGCGAGAAAGTCCCCCCCCCTTGGTCTATCGCAAAGGCGTAAAATAGAGGATTTGAATAGGCGGCATTGTAGCATTAACAAAGCCTGACCCATTTAAAGTCGTTATTCCATTCTCATTTTTTGATAGATAGGAAAACAGGGTTTCAAAATTTAGGCGAAGGAGACTACCAGTACATCCTCATCCATTTTTCTCTTATTCCGATCCCCGAACCTGGACCATCTAGCCACGGTTCGTCTGTGGGTTGCTGGTTAATTGCATATTCCAAGTGAGGTGCAGTGAAGTAGGAAAACTAACCATAATATCAACCCGTCAACACCACCCTAGTGCGCAAACATCAAGACGATTTAACGCTGACGGTTGGCGGACCAGACATTCTTGAGGTAGCCGTCCTTCTGGGCAAGGCGGTTGAAGGAGTCGTCGGACTCGCCACGGGCACGGATGAAGCCGCAGAGAGCGTAGGTCTCGGACTCGCCGGTGTAACGGCCGTTCTCGTCAACCTTGCCAACGGAGAGCTGGACAGAGGCGTGGTCGTTGGCCTTGATGATGCGGTTGGTGGCGCTGCACTTGCGGGGCACATAGCTATCGAGGGAAATACTGTTAGTATCCTTTCGTCTTTTTTTTCTCGCTTCGACTCATCGAGTATCGAAATTCGCTTCCCCTCCAATCGATCGGTGTCCTGGATTTTGTCGCCGACAAGACGATACGCATGAATCCACTGGATTTGGCATTCGCAGAGGATTCCGACCGAGCCCCGAGAGGTCCTTCTCTTTTGCGGTCGGGAGTTCAATGCGGCATGGCGAATGTGGGCAGACAAGACACAGGACACCGGATAGATTGTAGCGAAAGTGAGTCGGATGGCGGAAACACATACAGATCGACGATCTCTCCCTTCTCGTTCTCCATTTTGGCGGATTTGGTGTAGGGGGGATTGGACGGGCGACGGTGAGGTTGGAGGTGGAGGGTTTTTCGGACCGCACAAATCGGGACTCAAATGATTTGTGTGGGTCATGTGATTCTTTGTCGAGGGCTGGCGTGGTGGAAAGGCGGTGTGCGTGGGTTTACACCCGAGACATACTGTGGACCGTGGCAATATCACCCTTGTCTTCCTGTCAGGAACCACTGGTACCACAGAATCCAGTCACCTTTGATTGGATGCATATTATTCGGATTATCACTTAAAATATGAGAGCCCCAGGGCAAGGCCTTTGAAGGGGTATAAGTCGTTATCTATAATCTCTAAAGATTGCTCCGACCTTCTTTGCCTTCACGCAGGGCATCTTTCTTCCAAGCCACAGTCACCTCTCTCGCACTGCCCTTCGTAAATCGTACAAGGACAACCCGATCGGACTCGCCTCGCTTGTCAGATCCCTTTAGTTCAGGTCCCGCATCATCTAATGCCAGAACTGTCCGGCCATCCTCGGTTACTTTCAGCATCTTGGGTGAAATATACTTGTCCGTCCAAGGAGGGGAGCCCGAATGTACAAATTTCATCAGTGCCGCCCGGCGTTCCTCCATTTCTCCATTGGAGACTGTCGAGCGAGACTCCTGATCAAGAAATCCCGATACTAAATGTAGAAGCAAAAACTGCGGAGGGAAGAGAATAATTTCCCCTTTCTGTGCCCGATCAAGCCACGCTGCAGCCGGAAGAAATTGCGCCTCGGTGACTTCAACACCGCCATCGCTGGTCGGAACTGGGACCTCGTCCCGCTCTCCCTCATCAGGAAGATCTTCCAGCAATCTCTTGTCTATATTGACAGGGAGTGGCATAAAATACAGGTACATCTGGGTTGTATAGCGCTTGGGGTTAGCAATTGGAGTAATCCAGTGCGTGAATGGAATCAACGGATCTTCTCTCAAGTTAGCAATGAGATCTGGGGAGTTCGAAAGTCTGCAAGGGAAACTGACCTATATCAGCCTCTGCTGTTGCATTCTGCTGCCTTAGCCAGTCGCCAAAGGTAACTTTGTTTTGATGTATCAGGCGTCGGCCTTGCTCCCGTGTTGCTTCGTCGACTACAAGCATCTTCCCAGAGGTTTTGTCTTTAGCAAGTAGAATGCCACTTTCTTCGAAGAGCTCTCTAATAGCTGCTTGTCGATACGAAGGACCATCTTCGTGGTGGGCATGATCCTCTGGGGGGGACAAGGCCCGTCTTGGCTAGATAGATTCCCGCCAGGAAAGACATGGGCAGAGGCGAACGAGCTGGACGTCTGCACTCGGTGCAGCAGAAGAACCTCGTTCTTTGGAGAAACAAGAATTACGCTGGAGTATTGTTAGCACTTCCGAATGCCTCTACAATGGTCCAGATTCGACCAAATCCGTCAGGCTTTAGGCATCACATGCCGAGAATCAACTAACCTCGAACTCGGTCTAGCCACAGCAGGCTGTCTCTTTTTTTCACCATCTCCCTTGGCGCGTGGCATCTTGGTAAACTGGGTTGTTGACGGTGGGTGTGAATTCGCCGAATAATTCCTTGTGCAGTTGCCTCGGCGCGGGCTCGGGAGAAGCCAGGATCGCGCGACGTAGAAGGATGTAAGGGTTTTTCGTGTAGAGCAGGGGCTTGCAATTGCAGGGGCTAACCAACGGCTCCAGATATACTCAGGGAGCATACTATTAGATACGGCCCGGTGAATCTTGGTCAACTTAAGGAGTTTATAGCAAGAACCGACCCGAGTGCCTAGGCATATCCCTGTACCCCGCGTCCGGCTTGGCCGCTTCCAGTTAGCCGACAGCCGCACCATGTGCCACACTGGAGCATATAACCACAAACAGGTACGGAGGACGGAATACTAAGCATGTACTGGGATACGGATCTATGTGCTTCGAAAATTTCAAGAATTTAATCGGAATATCATACTGATTAATTGAAAATTAAACTCCTCATATCTAACTCCTGTCCTATCATACCCTATTTTTTATTTCCAAGGCCACGTATCATCGTCCGGGAATTCCCATTCAAATTTCACATTGGGTCATTCTTCATTCAAAAAAGCTTGGATCTTACGAGTAAAGCTTCTTGTCGTAGCTGTGCAGACCGTGGACGTTACCCTCGGCCATAGCACTGGCACTACGCATCTCAAAGCGGACAGTGCCGTTGTTAACACCCTGGTGCAGGTTGTCCAGGCTCTCGACACCCATATCCTGGAGAGAGTGCTGGACACCAGCCATAAGGTAAGGGATGAACTTGGTGACGGAACCGCGGTCAAGGACGGAGCCAGCAACACCTTGGGCGACCAGAACGCTGCTCTTCTCAGAGAAGTAACGGGCGGTACCGGCGTTGGAAGCCTTGCTATCCTTGCTGTTGGCACCGGCCTTCTTGTCCTCCATGGCGGCAATGGAGCCCATACCACGGTAGGCCTTGACGAGCTGGCCCTCGTTACTAACGTAGTACTCGCCAGGGGACTCGGTGGTACCGGCAAGCAGACCACCCATCATAACAGTGCTAGCACCCATGGCCAGACCCTTGACGATGTGACCAACGTTTTGGATACCACCGTCAGCAATGCAAGGAACGCCGAAGCGAGCAGCGAATGAAGAGACACTGCGGACAGCAGCGGCCTGGGGGCGACCACAAGCCATGACCTCCTGGGTGATACAGGCACTACCGCTACCCATGCCAATTCTCAGGCCATCGGCACCGGCAGCAATCAGAACAGCAGCCTGCTCACGGGTAACGACGTTACCGGCAATAACATCGATGTCGGGGAAAGTCTCCTTGATGTACTTGACCATCTGGACCTGGTACATACTGCTACCGTTGCTGCTGTCCAGGATAACAATGTCCAGACCAGCCTCGACGAGGAGCTTAAGACGAGACTTGTCCTCCTCGCGGGTACCGATCGCAGCAGCACAGATGAGCTGCTTGGAGTCGGGGAGCTTGGAGGCCAGAGGGTAGTGCAGGTTCTTCATCAAGTCCGAGCGAGACAGCAGAGAGACAATGTTTCCAGCCTCATCGACAATGGGCAGCTTGCCCTTCTTGGACTGACGAAGAACCTCGTTGGCCTCGGCCAGAGTGGTACCAGCGGGGGCGGTGACCAGATCAGTGGCCATGATAGAGGTGACTGGCTCATTCAGGTCGTGGTGGAACTGAATGTCACGAGAGGTGACCATACCAATAAGCTTGGAACGAAGAGTTCCGTTCTCTGCCACAGAATCGTCATTAGCATCCATGTTGAACCAAGTGATAAGACAAAATGTAGTTTGTGACGGCAAAAGATCAGATAGAAACTGGTTCTCTACATCGCAGCTCTCGCTGCTGGCAGTGGAACGAAAGTTATAAAAAAAAGTAGGTTGTTCATCATGCTAGGGGACGTGATTGGGTATGAGGGAAGGAAATTGAGAATTGACTCACCAGTGACAGGGAAGCCACCGAATCCCCACTTGGCCTTGAGGTCCTTGGCCTCACCAACAGTGGCGGTAGGAGCAAGAACGACGGGGTCCAGGATGAAACCGTTCTCGTATCTCTTAACCTTACGGACCATCTCGGCCTGGTCGTTGGGGGCACAGTTGTGGTGGATGACACCCAGGCCTCCAAGCAGAGCCATGTGGATGGCCATGTTGTGCTCGGTGACGGTGTCCATGGGCGAGGACAGAAGGGGGGCCTTCAAGGAGATGCGCTTGGTGACAGGGCTGTCCAGGCTGACGTCGGAGGCGGCAAAGCCTGATGGTCAAGGTTATTAATGGGGCCTTGCCAGAATCCGAAGCAAATTCGGCTTACCGATATAGCCGGGCAGGACAAGGAAGTCATTGTAAGTCAAAGCTCCGTGCTTGTCCGAGTCCAGCAGAGTATCGATATCGAGACCATCCTTAACGGTGTAGGTCTTCACGACCTCCAGGGCCTTGGTGTAATCCTCGATCTCGGCCTTCATGGCAGCACCGGGAGCAGCCTCCTTGTTAGTGATAGGCATGGTGATTTTTCAAAAGAGAGAAACTCTGGATCCAGGGAGGCAATGAGTCGAATGGATCAGAGGGGAATCAAATCAACAGGGAATAAACCTTCTGTTGATGGAGAGAGTCCAGCTTTCCCAAAAAAAGGAAAGAAGAAGAAAAAGTTCGAGCGGCCGTTGCTTCCTTTTTTTTTCTGCGTTCGGAGGGGCGCTTGCCCGAGTTGGGTTAGCGTGTCGGCTCTACATTCTCCCGAGCCGCTGATTCGCTAGTAAACGAGCGTCATTGGGCGGTGAAGGCTGTCAGAACCAAAGTTGACTGAGGGGTATTTTACTGCAAAGTTACTAGATGCATCTATGGAGAAGGAAGCTTTGATGCGCAACTTTGACTTTGAATTATCAATATTCCTATCCGTATGTTCATATGACACCAGTTGGGCTCCATATATCCTATTCAAGTTCCCTTTTACAGATAGCCCATATCATCCTATTCAAACCATGGAATTCATCATTTCGATATCGATCGAACTTGACTCTTTAAACAAACACCGCCCCGTCCTTGCGCTCTGATAGGCGGACGGGCAAGTTTTCAGTTCTTACAAACCAAGAGTTTATAATCTTCATCTCGTGATCTGGGCTCGAGAGCTCCACCTATATCAAACATTAGCCACGGCCCATGCCCATATAAGTCTGATATTAGGTGTCACTCACGTCAAAAGTGCTGAACAAGGTTGCAATGAGCTTGTAACTCTCGAGCTGAGACAAATATTGCCCAAGACAAGCGCGTGATCCAGCCCCGAATGTCATATCTGTACCTTTCATCTTAGAAAAGCGTGCTTGGTACACCTCGTCGGATTCACTGGAGGTTTGCAGCCAGCGTTCCGGAATAAAATCATCAGGATTGGCGCCAAAAATCTCCTCGTTCTTATTGATTATCCAGGGATTCATTCCCACAACAACTCCTTCTGGCACAAAGCGCCCGTCGGGGAGAGACAATCCGCCCTTAGGAACAACACGCTCGAGTATCAGACCGACGCCAGGATGGACACGCATAGCCTCACGCATCACTGCCTCAAGATACTTAAGCCCGTGAATGTCCTTCCATTTTGCCGGGAGAGGAAGGTTAGCACCACGGAGCTCAGCGCAGAGCTTCTTATGAACCTCGGGGTTTTTCAGAATATAGTAAATTGCCGCACTCATGGTATAAGCTGTAGAGTCACTGCCCGCCAGGACATTTGACAAAAGCCACAAGATAATGACGTTGTCGTCGACCAGCTCTGGGTTCTTCTCTTTGATCTCGAGAAATTTAGCAAGGTAATCTTGTTTGGTCTCCTTTTCTTCCTGGTAACGTTTTTGAAGTTGCCCCAGACTGAAAATGTTAGCCCAAGCGAAGGTTGGTGGGCCAACACGCATGATCGGGTTCTTATCGAGGAACCGATCCAAAAGAGGGATTTGGCAAATCTAGTGTAAATCAGCAGGGTATTTCTTTGCACCGCACCATGAGAACTCACAGAAGCGAAGTAATCAAGCGTCCGGTCGGAGTTTCTGAGAAAGCCTTTATCGTCGCCTCCGGCCTCGAGGATTCCCAGGTCCTGAGAGAAGGTGGCCTGGCTCATTGTGTCCCAGGCGACTTTAGAACGAGTTGTTAGCTCATATTAGATAGCCAGAAAAAAACAAAACAAAAGAGAAACTTGAACCGTCCACCGAACACGACACAAAGTCGAAGCAAAATGGCCAGAAAAATATCGCCTCCTAGTCGGTATAATCTGCTAGTGAAGGTTGGGAGTATGGATACTCACAGAAGTTGATCCAATCCGACATCTCACAAGTCTGGCCAGTGCCGACAAACTTCGCACGGAGTTTGTCGAAAAGCAACTTGATAGTGACATCCATAGTACTCTCAACCTCCTGAACTCTACTCATCGAGTACATACTCTTGACGGGACGTATGAAAGTTGAGTGCCACTTCTCATCCTGAGAAGAGAACAGATTGCTCAGCCGAACACCACCGATGACAACATCATTGACGTTGTACATTGAGCTCTAGAGATATAGTAGAATAAAATTTACTGTCTGTCTCAATCAAAGCAAAAGGAGAGTGAATTTACCTTGATCCATGGGTGTCTGGTGTTGTAAACCTGGCCAATCAAGCTGGGATCGGAAAGACTGAGAACATTCGGTCCCACTCGAACAGCAGAGCCATATTTGCGGTGCAAAGCAAGTTGTGTTATATCACAGCGTCCCCGAAACACATCCCAAAAGCGCCAAATATTGGTGCAGCTTGTGGCGATAGGGCCTGGGAAAGACTTCAATGGAGACCGGACATAGTTCCAGAGGAAGCGAGAGGCAAAGAGAATTGTCACCGAGAGGGCTATATTTGTTGCTAAATCAACCACAGAAAACATATTTCCAGTGAAAGTTCGACTCTGACAGATTTTATGATATCTCAAGGCTAGACTCTTCGGAGACGGGCCCCTCCAACTTGATAAATAATTACAACTGAACACTAAACTTCGCTTGAGCTCCCCCCTTGGCCCCACAAAGGAGGGGAATCAGAGAGAGCACGCCTACGGGATTCATTCGCACGGACAAAAAAGTGGCAATTTGAGAAGAAGGAGGGGGTCTGTCTATGGAGTGCGATCGGGACGGGGTACTTTTGTAGATGGGGCCCGTTATTAGGAGGGGGTCTATGATATTTCTAGGTATGCATCCGTGTCTGTATCTACAATGGGTTCATAGTGCGAGGGCCTAGAAGCTGACCAGGCAACCCAAATGGATGGCAAATCGTTCTGAATTCCAAGGTTCGTCGTATTTCACTACAGATACGGAGGACAGGGTGATTGTATTCTGTGGGTTCGCTGGGCCATTGGCTGATGAATATCTGCATTGAATATTTGTCCGGGTCGATGTACCAATCATAAGAACCATAGAAGCTCGGTCATCGTGATAGATCACATTTTCTGCAGCCGGCTGATTTTCAGTTCAGCCATTTGTGGAGAAGCCATGTACCTATGGATGGATGTGCATATCCATTATGTGTACGGAGTACTCCGCACGGAGCACCCCTTGGCTACATGAACCCACGGCTTATCCCCCACTTCTCTTTTAGTGGTAATACTAGTATGACAATTTCGATCGAGAATATTTTACTGATGTTTTAAATATACATCCGAAAAGGCGAAATAAGAATCCTTGGTCCCTGAAGATACATTACAGTACAGAAAACTAAGGACTAATATGGCTAGTCTACGAACGGGCCGCGAGCCCATGTGGCCGGGCCATTACTGGAGGTTCGGTTACATTCCCCCTGGCCCTCTAGCTTGGTAAAATCTATTAGAATGGCTGAGGACTAATTTGAACTACATCGAAAAATTTTCCTCTGAAATGCCAGCTTCTTGGGCTATTCGCTCTGCGTAAATTGAGTAGATTTGCGGAGTACATGGTAGAATTTATCATGACTGACCCATCATTGTGGAGCGACTCGGCCTTCCCGTGCAGGGGCCGCAACGCCCTCCGCCATGCATGACAACATGAACCAAGCCAACGAAAACTTTTGCCTCCCAAATTTGCTCCATAACCAGGTTTGGCGGAAAATTCAAGGATTGCCGCGACGGGGAATTTTTAATTTTGTCCCGAAAGTCTCAGCCCTAGGCCTGTGAAAAATCATGTCCGCTCCCGCAGAGAGTTAACTTTTTCTCCGTACTCCGTACATGAAGCAGACTTATTGGCCAGCTCCACCTACGCCCAAAGCATGAAAAATCACCTCCGAAATCAGGTTTAAGGTCTCAATTATCCGCTGTAAGCCACGATAGCTGCTTGTTCCAGGAACTAGTCTACTGATCTGTCATTTTGATCGGCTTTGCAGATCACCATTGCCTTGTCTTGCATCCTGCAAGATGCACGCGCGATATATCAAATTCTCCTCGTCCTGTGCTTCTGTTGGTCACTTGTTCCGTGGAGGCCTACATTTTGGGCAAATTGACTATTACGTAGAGTCAGGGATTTCAATAGATCGAGTCTGAACTACGGGGTACGCCGGTACTGGACGGAGTCAACAATTCTCAATGGCCAACGCTGAGTTTTGATCGTCAATCCCTAACATCGCATGGCATCTGTCATCTCCGGGGCGGAAGGCGCTCCTTGCCGCGCCGGATCATATATTGCTGATTGGAGTATCACATACTTGAGGTCCCGCTCGCTTGATATGATCGACGGTGGCTTCTGCTTGTGTACTACCTTATTACTCTATAGTTCTGTTTTGTACGGAGTAGAGGTCTGGCTTTTAAGGGGTCATGAAATCTGATATATTTACCTTGTTCCATCGTCCAAAGCTGTGTTCTAGGGCAATTGCCATTTCCAAGGTTCCAAAGTGAAGTTATTCTCCTTTCCACTCGTTGTACTCCGACAAGGGGCCTACTTCGAGCACCATGGCAACGGAATCTGCTACTGTTGACGCCCAGACCCAAGGACCAACCATTCTAGCATCATGCTGGGTCTTGGTAGTCATTCCGGGCCTCATTGTTGCCCTACGACTGTGGTGTAAGCTTGGGCTAAGCAGAAGAGGCTTTGGTTGGGATGACCTTCTCATCTGTCTTGCATGGGTAAGTTTCAGGGCGACGATACATATGCTATCTTGCTTGGATTTACTGACATAGAACTCAGGCTCTGCAATTGGTCTATACAGCCCTCAACACGAAGGCCGTGCAAATGGGAGTAGTCGGCAAGCACGTGTTTGCCATCGAGGACCCAGAACTCATTCCACCAGCACTCAAACTTGTATACATCAGCTATGTGATTATCATCATCAGTTGCGTGTTCAGCAAGACATCGTTTGCCTTTACTCTCATGCGGATTGTGACTAAGACGTGGATGAAAGCTTTGCTTTGGTTTATTATTATCACCATGAATGCTATCATGTGGCTCTGCGCTATTTGCTACCTGGCACAGTGCCGCCCAGCAGCAGCACTTTGGGATGCCAGTCTCTTGGCAACTGCAAAATGTTGGCCAACTTACGTCTTCGAAACGATTGCTCTTGTGGCTGGAGGTAAGATGGCCCTCACCACCCTCTAGATACACCTCTAACAGAAAACTATTATAGCTTACTCTGGATGCATGGATTTCATCCTTGCGCTGCTGCCCTGGGTGGTTTTGTGGAATTTGGAAATGAAGAAGCGCGAGAAGGCCGGTATCGCCATTGCTATGAGTATGGGTGTTTTGTAAGTTTTCCAAAGGTCCAAACAGAGAGCAGTCCCTGACGATAGCACAGTGCGGCAATTACCGCATTCATCAAGACTTCAAAACTTGTCAACGTTTCCCAGGTCCAGGATTTCACTTGTAAGTCTCGCCTAGTTGTCTGCTATACAACCGATTTAACAAAAGATGAATTGTAGGGTTCTGCTCCACCCTTACAATCTGGGCCTCTGCCGAAACAGGCTGCACAATCTTTGCAGCATCGATTCCCTCCCTTCGCATCCTCTTCGTGCGTATCAGTTCCAGCTACCAGCACTCTGATGATACCTCCGACACTTATAATGGAGAGTCAATCACTTTGAAAGCCCACAAGGAGGGAAGCAGCGCTCAGAGTACCCAAAGCGAGCCAGGAATCATCCCCGCACAGGAAGTGGCTGTTGAACACAATGGAGCTCAAGTGAGACAACTAAATGTCTAATTGGGGGACTTCTATCTGGAGATGGCTCTAAAGAATCATGAACCGTGCACGATGCTTTACGCAGCACCCAGAGACTATCCGATTATTCTATGAATTCTAGACTAGTTCACTGAGCTAGTCGGCTACTCTTGAACTTTGTAATGGGTACTAGCAGCTTTTCTTTTCTTCTATTTTTCTTCTTTGACGGCACTACTATTATCTTACCGGGGTTGGGCGGTTATTCAGAAAATTACATAAATAAGCACTATGCTTTGGAAATACTTGAGAATAATTTCTAATAAGAGTTTGGATTTGACTTTTTAGAAAACCGACTGCGGCGATAGTAAAGGGACGTTTCAGAAACAAGAACTTGGATGAAATTTCTGTTTATATCTGGCTAAATGTGAGCTATCGTGAAGAGCTGTTTCAGTCACGATTGAAAAGTCTTTAGAGAAAGACCAATGATGTCCATACAGACCATGTTGAAATGGTTGAGCCGATCCAGAAACTGCTGTCCCGGGACATGTTGGATGTCTCAATGAATAGAAAAACACTTGGCCATGAAAGAGTGGACGAGTGCAGAAGTCACTCGCGTTGCTCCGCAGGGAACTAGTAGTCGTCACCGCGACTGATGACCTCCTTACCATTTTCGCGCAACAAGAAAGTCTATAATTTCGATGTTAGAGCTGAAATGGCAAGTGATAGGGGGGGCAAATCACTTACATGCTCGAATTGGGCCGAGTATGACCCCTCGATATCCATGAGAGGGGCATAGGATTCCACAACTCCCTGGGACACAAGATAATTCATCTACTCAATGTAAGCTTCTCGACAACCGGTCATTAAAAGAGACTTGGGCACTTACACCTGCCAAGTACCGCTCGACCCCCAAACGCTCCAGGTAGCGGCGAGCAAAGACAATCGAACTGAAATTATCATTGATTGTCTTGTAAAGGGTCCGGGCGCTGGTGAGCGGAGCGGCGATTCTACTTGGCGCAGAAGGATCTTTTCCGTATCCATAGACCCCGGACTAGAGATGTTCAGCTATTGTTAAAAATGGACGAATGAGTGGGTTGACTTACGCCTTCCACTGTACGGCCGCGGCCCGTTGATCCAAAGGTTTCAAGAGCAAAGATTTCTCCCTCCTCCATTTTGGTCTGGTCGCTATTTTTGACAAAGGGGATCGACTTTCCACCATGAATTTCCCAACGTTTTATGTTGTGTCCAGAAATGCTTCTCACTGGCTTCACAGGAAACGTTTTACCGTTAATCTCGACCTCATAGCTTTCCATGACTTCCTGGATAGCGGCACTGATATCGCTAATGCGAACATCGATTCCAGCGGCCTATTCTTCGTCAGGTGTGCTTCACCGAGAGCAACTTTGTTTTGGGGGAGGGGTTGGCATACCTTGATACCAGTGTTGGTAGACTCCTTCACCGCGGTTAAAAGATTGTCGTAGATGGGATCAAAAGACATGGTGAAAGCACTGTCGACAATCCATCCATTGATATGGACGCCGAAGTCAACTTTCATCACGTCACTCGATTTCAAAACAATCTCCTTTTGGCCGGGATTAGGGGTGTAATGCGCAACGCAATTATTGAGCGCGAGTCCAGTGGGAAATCCCATTCCAGATATCAAACAACTGCCCTTTTCAAGGCCAGGATTATCCAGGAGCGCTCGCACGCCATCCTCGATACCCAAGGCAATCTCAGTGAGGGTCTGGCCTGGCCGAACAGACTCCTGCGTGTGACGCCTAACCTGACGGTGGATCTCAGCTGCTTTGCGATAGGGCTCGAGAAACTCCGGGTCCTCGAGTTGAGTTCGAGAGTTGAGGCGAGTTTCCTCCGTAGTCGTTCGAGCCGTGTTATCAACATAGGCGTAACTTTGAATCTCACCGACTGGGTATTCTCCAGTGGGAAATAGCTTGGTCAGAGGAATCCGGGGCGGAGACGACTGTTTCGATCCAGAAGCCTTCTTCTTTTTCGACTTCTTTCGTTTCTTCTTTTGGGAAGTATTGGCTGATGTTGGCTGTGCTGTTGCCTCAGGGTCAACAGCGCCATTTAGACCGCTTAGGGTGGCATCGCCATCCTCGTCATCTCCACCATCGCCGCCATCTCCCAGGCTGCCATCTCCGTCTCGGGAAAGATGGGCGCCGCGTGGTTCTCCGCCAGCTGAAGTGGCTTTGTTTGAGCCGGACGACTCATCTGATGCAAGTTAACGTCGCCCGGGCGGGGTTGTGTAATGGATACTTACTGCCGTTCGACTGTCCCTCTTGATCAGGTGTCTTAGAGCCCATGTCGACATAGAGCGGAATTTTTAATCAATAGAGAGGTCCCAAAGTTGCTTGAGAAAAATTCACAATCGTGTCTTACCAGCGAGGCGGGGCTGGGGCTCTTAGGCGGTGACGCTTAACCACCGTGACACGCCACCAAAGAGATACTACCTAATATCTACCTAGGTAGGTAGTAGTACTATTAACCGGCCTGCAATCTTGAAAATGCCCAGGTAGTATAATTTAGTACCGTGACCTACCTAGGCAGAGCGCTTCCTAGGCTGTTGTCTGTCCAAATGGCTCTGTCTAGGTACCTACATATGTAGCTCAGGCTTTGCCCGTACCTAGTAGTAGTTGTAGTATTCTGAGAATTGAAGTTTTTCATTTGAAAATTTATATATACTGAGATGTTCCTAGATGAACTCTCCGTCTAGCAGTAAGTTGCTAAGAAAAAGCCAGGAGCGCAAAGGGTATCGCCCGCAATTCTTCCGATGATATTCCGAAATAGCATGCGCCCTGCAATCCGAAACGTAGACGTCGTAGCTGGGAGCCGAGCAAACAGAACCAAGCCCTTTTTGGATCGGCGTTTTTATGTTTCGTTTCCGCGATCGAAACGACTGAGGACCTCTGGTGGAACTGTGGGAATGTATTTGCGTGCTCGCTCACGGTTGGTGCCGCCAAGGCCAGCTCCGTAGGAGATGAGCATGTCCGTGCTGGTCGGTAGAGAGAAGGGGAGAAAAAGGGTTGGGTCGAGGAAAACACTCTCCTTGCCTGGACGGTCATCCCTGTTTGGGATGACCATACTGGCTGGCCGAGAAGAGGTGCCGACAGATCCAGGTGATGCGAGGTTAGGGTCGGGCGTCGCCGGGGTTGATTGATGCGGTTCGTCTCTAGAAGGTGTCTGTGGACGATCTTGGGATACATCTGATGTGGGCGGACCTGCCGCCGTCTCTTTCGCCGCTTGAATGCGATGTTGTTCACGGAATAAAACCTCAGGGTCACGTTGCATATCGAGCAGAAATTTCATGGCCTGTTTCGTCAAGCCTTTCTCGCCCACTTCCGCTCTGTATGACTTCACAGCATGAATGAGTTGAAGTGGTATGAGTTGTTGTAGTTGAAGGAGAGTTGTCACTAGGGATTCGTGATCTTCGCCTAGTGAGGAAAAACACTGCAGCCATTGAAGTAGTTGGATGACTGGAGCCAGATGTTGGCGTGCAGCATCCACCGTGGTTTCCCCTGTAGCTGACATAGACCCGTTGTCGTAATGCTCCGGTTGGCGATTGTTGTTCCGAGCCCAATCTTCCAAAGCAGAGACATTCATGCGGATTTGCATAGCCTTTGTCCGTGCTAGGTACCGTCTTGTACTCATGATCCGGTTGAAGATCTCCGCACTAAGCCAGTAGAGAAGCTGAGAAAGAATTTGCGTGGTGATGACGGAGTGGACATCATATAGGTCAAGCACAAAAAGTGTCGATGATAGCAAGGAGGTGATATTGCGCGGAGAGATCTGCGCTCGGCGCCGTGGTGATGGGGGACGAAATCGTTTGTCTGCGGGCTCCGGAGCCTCAGATTTTTTCTTCCGGAAGAGCTTCCATTCATTCTGGAAAGCGATATCCTCCAGCCCAGGGATGGTTTCATGGTCCAGCATTGCCGCATCAAGGACTTTGTTCATACGTCGCTCTGCGTCACGAATGATAAGAACGAAGATTTCGTTAATCAGCTCTGCCAAATGAAGCTGGAACTGTACTGTTGCTTCTTGCAACTCGCCGTCTTTCTTGAGATAGTGGAGAAGAAGAGTTGCATTGGACAGCCAAAATGCCTGCATCGTCATATCCCACTGGTATCGCTCGACAACGTCATTGATCTTTTCCGTGGCCGATGTGAGCAGTGTCGCTAGAAGCTCAGGGCTTGCATGGTAATGCGCATAACGCGCACTCAAAAAGAGGAGATTTGCTGGCACGGGCTTTTGAGAAGGTGATCGCTGTGGTGCCATGTTGGTGATGATAATGTCCAAAATACGCTCCAGCTCGTGGTCTTGGAATACAAACATCTGATCATTTAAGCATCGATCCCACACAAATTCTTGCTGTTCTTCTTCGATATCCTCCTCGTCCGATGGCTTCCAAAAGTTAGTATTGGCTGTTGACAATTCGGATAGGACATACTCACTTCGAATTTCTCATCTAATCCGAGGCTAGACAAGTCCACCTCAAGATTGATAGCACTCTCCTCCATCATCATGCGGCGCTTCATCTCATTTTCTGCAATTTCCTCCTCGAATCTGCCGTGTGCTAGTCCAGCGTCATAAAAGTCGTCTTCAATGGTACCGGATCCGAAGCTATAGCCATTTTCATGTAGATACTCGGAGATCTCGCTGCCTGGTTGCGCAAAGTCGAAAGCCGTACCCCCCGAAGAAGACTTGATGTCCGGTGAAGCTCCATGATCAAGGAGAATTTTCGCGATCGTCTTGTGTCGATTGGTCATGGCCCACATCAAAGCACTCCACTGATTTCGGTCCTGCTGGTCGACAAAAGCGCCCGCGTCGAGAAGTGCTCCAACGACATCTTGGTGACCCTAGAATGAGATGTTAGTCCCGCCCTCGGTAGGCAGAGTATCCCATCCAGTTGAAGTAGAGGGTAGAGGCCATCCCCATCCCGGGGTTTTGTTCGCCCCAGATAACGCGGCAAGGGCTACTTACAAAGCAGCTGGCGTAGATCAAGGGCACTGTCCCTTCTTCATCCGGCATGTTTACATCGATATATGTTTTGGCGGATCCCTGGACGAGCTTACGCACGCGCTCCACGTCGCCGTTACTCGCGGCCATATTCAGACTCTTTTGCAGAATATCCCGCTTCTCCGCGACAGTGAATTTCTCGTCGGCCGCGATAGTCTCTTCGTCCGCTCCAAGGGAGTCGACTTCTCGATGAGCGGCCTGCGCAGCCAGCATCTCCATCAATCGAGCATCGCTATCTTCAATGTCGCGGTTCCGCAGCTCATGCTCCGAGTCGTGCATGTGATCATCGAGGGCGAGGCTAAAGCTCAAGGGTTTTGCGGCGACGGGGGTGGTGAGGAATTGCGATTGTCCTGCCAGGTAACGAGATCAAGTTAATATCGAGTGGAAAAGGGTCGGACGGGACGCAGTCCATTGGGCACATGCCGGCCCGGCCGAAAGGACGAGTTAGGAGGAGAGAGTTCTTACCTTGCCACGCATCATACATCTCTGTCTCCTGTTGATAGACAGGTACCGAACGGCGGTCGTCCAGCGACTTGGGCAGGTCTTCGGGGAGTTCTTTCGGGCTCTCTGAAGACGCGGGGCTATGGTTGTGACTGGGGTCGACCTCTTCTGAATCCCCGCGCGGTGACTCGGTCGTGTCCATCGTGGCGGGCCTACAGTCAAGGGTGCTGGAAGGTGGACATCCAAAGGGCAAAATATGTCTATGATGATCCCTGAGGGAATCGGCGCGAAAATGGAGGGCCCTCCTCGGTCGAAATTGGTGTTGTCGGGAGTGAGATGGGTTGGAACTGAAAAAGGTGGTCCGGCCCGTAGATCAACCGCCAATAAAGCCAGCTTGATGACGCACTTTGTCCTTACTTTAGATGAAACTAAACTACCCGATGGTTATACGGTGTCCCGGAAAATAGAATCGGTAATATTTAGGAAGATCTTCATTAAGCGAATTGTTGGCTTTAATAAAACAAATAGTTCTTCTTTTTGTGCCTGAGGGGCTGTTACAATGCATGGAATTCAGGCACCAACTATTAGCTGTACCTGAAGATAGATGAAAAAGAGCAAATAAATCGTATAGAATATCCTCCGGTCATGATATTTCCAAGTGACCAGCCAGCTTGTATGCAAACGCTCGCTTTAAACGCGCAAGTAATGTGTTAAAAAGAAAGAAGAAAAAATCAAAAACAATGCATGTATAGATACAGGATATATGGCAGGACGGGGTTCAAAATTCCGTAACGAAGGGGGGTATGAAGTATCCAATCATGAGAAAAGAAAAGAAAAGAAAAGAGAACATGTCATACAAGATCACTCAAGGCGCTTGCTGCGAGCTTGAACTTCTTCCTCGGACAAGGAAGCGATCCATAAACACCGCTCAATGATGCCTTGCACGGGCTCAAAGCGGTACTTAGTGCTGGCGTCGATCAAGCGAAGTAAGCTCTTGACGATACGGGCAGCAGTCCGGTAACGTTCAAAGTTAACCAGCAGTCCGCGCGAGCTGCTGTTGACTTGAGCAGGCTTTTGTGCATTATAGGTAAGATCATGTACATACAAGCCTATAGCAAACTCATTAGTAAACGTAAAAGGGAATATTGAAATAGTAGCCTTACCGATAAAAGGAATACAGCCTTCCTGGAGGTTGGCTGTCTCCATCTCGACTCGAAGATCGTGGAAATTGCGAACGGGCTGAATCAGACACTCCATATCCTTGAACAGGCGTTTGTCTTCCTGGGGAACCAATTCCCAGGTCTTTGATAACCGAGAGCAGTCGGATGAAGCCAAAGCGATGGCGATCTGGAGCATGGTGGCATAATTGCAGATGCGACGGGCATGAGCGGCGGTATGAATATACTTGATGATCGTCCGCGCCCGCTCATGGATGTCAACGGTCAGAACGATTTCAGATACAACCCATTTCACCATAAGGTTGAAGCGACCAACAACTAAATCAATGCCCTTACGTTCTTCTGCGGCGAGGAATTGTACCCAACTGAGGATGCAGGGCGAGCCACTGCCCCATCTCATATCAACCAAATCACGCCAGTCAACTTCGCTTAGGGCCGCCATCTCGACCAGAGTTAGCTGCTGGGCCAAGACTTGGGACTCGCAGGCAAGTACAAAAGGAACATGGCTAGGGACATTGCTCAGGCCAGGGTTGAGCGAGTTGAAAGCAGGGCGGTTCCTCTCAGAATTCGAGAGAACATCACTAGAAAACTGAGGAACATGTCTGGATATCTGGGTGGGTGTATCGCCTTCCCGACGTCGAGGGGAGGTGTCTGGCGTGAGGGGTTGAGCCTGGAAAAGTACCTTGTCCATTGGCGAGGTACAGGAGCCGAAGGAGCCAGGGTGTTGGATGGTCATGGGAGGCGAGGGTGGATGTGCCAATGGATGAGGCGGAATATCCAAGGTTGACGCTGTTAAGCTACGCGTATCGGCTGAGGAACGACCCTGCATGGCTTCACATGGATCAATCATATCGACAGATAGCTCAGAGGACAGGGCCGAAAGGCGCCTCGGTGTCTCCTGTCCGGCATTGAGATAAGTCGAGTCTGGGTTTGTCGCGCCGCGAGGAATCCGCCGCAGACTTTCTGTCTTCTGAATAATCTGAATTGAAGGATGGGAAGACGCAAGTTCGGAGGTATCTCTACTCGATATGAAACTTAAAGGAGCGCCGTGGACATCACGTCCGGCGGTCCTAATCGTAGGAGGCCGCTTCATCGATTCGTCGGACAACCCTCTTTCCAGAAGAGGAATCGAATTATATGATTCTTCGGAATCCGCTACAGAATCGGAGTAGGGCCGAGGCGGTGCTAATCGACCTTTGGTGGTAGAATATGCTGATTTGTCGGTTTGTCGTCTTTGAGAAACAGTGTCCCATCCAAATTCGTCCCTCGCCACGGGCAAATGATGTCGATGATTATGTCCACCCGTGCCTTCATTCGTCGCCGGGGGGGCTCCATTTACCCTCGAGCTTGAGTAAGGTTGATTCAATGCCTCCATCGTCATCGTCAGGGATTTCCGCAAAGCGGGCAATGGCCGCCTCAAACGAACGCCGGACATTGCGATTGGGTTTACCATGAACCAAAGAATAACGGGGATTTGGCGGAACAAGAGCAGTTGGTGGTCTTGACACGATCTCGTCTGTGGTGGTAGTGGTTGTTTCTGCCAGAGAGTTGTCATAAGAATGGCTGGAAATAAATGAGCCACGTCCCGAAGTTGGGTCAATATCGTCCACAAACTGCATCTGTCGCAAGTTGCCGCCGGGTCTTCTGCGAAGTGATGGGCCAAACTGTTTATCGGATGATTCTTGCACGATGCTCGAGCTTTCATTAGATCTGCCTGCATCGCTGCCCATTGATTGGCGATGCTTAGAAATCCCACTTTGGAAGGATGCATACTTCCGAAGACGGAGAGAGAGTGATTCTCTTTTTGTAGGCGGTGTTGTATGCTCCGTGTAGGATCTTCGTTGAGCTGAAATGACAGAAGGGCGACGGAGAGAAGAATCTTCGACCATAGCCGGGGAACCTTCACCGTTATAGACTACCGGAAGGAGATACTCTCCTTCCTTCGCAATCGACTCCGATTCTGAATTGACACTCGCGTCGGGAATTGAATGAGCCTTCTGGCCGGCATTACTGTAAACATCATGTCCCTGCACGGCCCCCGACATCGTAGGGAATTCGAATCCAGTGTCATCAACAATGACAATCGACCCACTTCCAGTAGTAATTCCGCTTTGTATGTTCGACCCCCCGGCTCTGGGTAGGTGAAGAGTAGAAGACTCACCCAAGTCTGGAGAGGACTGCTGAAACGTAATTTGAGGCCCAGGAGCACCAGCAGGGGATTGATCTGTTGGAATAGTATCCGCGTCCATGAGCAAGCGATACTGTTTGAGAGACTCCTCACAGAGGACGTCGAACCGCGCCGGTTGTCTCGGCACCGCAGCCATTTTCCTCTCACGGTAGAACTCAGATCCCAGAGAGATGTTATTTGGCATCGCAGAAGTTTTCCTCGGCTAGGCAACGAAATAGTCTCTGAAGGATTTGTCATTCGTGCCGAAACACTTTGCCCGCCGTTTCTTGTGTGGAGGGCACGTTTGATTGAACCAATGATGGTCCTCATTCCCGAATTCGATGCTCCTGTTTTGGGTCCTCCGTCCGGTGTACTTCTCCGGTCTGGGTTCGAATTCGACAACGGGGGAGCCAATGGAGGTGATTCCGGGGCCATCATAGCCATGTAGGATTCCACGGGTGGGTAAAGTGCCCCTCTGATGAAGCTGACAGGATCTAGTATTTCTTTGGGTCCTGTTCCTGTTGATCCTGCGTCCATACCGACCATGAGGACTTGATCGTTTCGCACTGAATCTGAGAAACTTGCACTTCGCTTGTGGCCATGTCCTTGGAATGGATGGCGCGAGATCATGGGTGATGATGGTAGCTGGTCATGATGAGATGTTGTTTTTGCAAGACCTAATTGAACGGGGCGTGGTCCTTTACCCTTTGAGTGGGAAAAGGAAAACCGTCTCGGAGATTTGGGAGGTAGTGAACAAGAGAGTGCTATCATGCTTTGCTCGCTTGTAGTGGAAAGGGGTATGCTCTGAGCAGTCGCAGCAGAATGGTTTCGATCATGCTGGACATAAATGGCAGTGTTGTCTAGAAGTTTTGGCTCCGTTTGAGAGACCACTCCTGGGGGATAAATATCTTGCTGTGGAGGTGCATCGCCACTGGGCATTTCGATATGAACGCTACCCGGCACAATGGGGCTATCGGGGTCATTATAGGTACGGGAATAGTCGGCAGCAGTCCAGTAGACTGAGCATTTGCCATTCCAACATCTTTTCAAATCAAGAAGAATTTTCAAGTCGCTCATACCGCCATTCTCACGAGACTTGACATCTTGGTACAAAACATTGATTGTTTCGCAGAAGTGAGTCCGGAGATCGTAGTTTGTGATGAAGTCATCGATGAAATAGTTCAAGATCCAGTGACGGAGAGCGGCAAAGGTACGGATACGAATAATCCTTCCATCCTCCTGCGGTCGATTGATAGCCCATTCCAAGCGGGCAAGAAGCAAGGCAAGAAGATGGCTAGGCGAGAGATAGCAGCGGAACGTTAGAAAAAAGTCTGAAACTAGCTCATAGTCCATGAATGATTCTGAAGAAATCTGGGCAATAATACGAGCAGGCGTAGCAGCACTGATATCTTTGGTGCCGGGGATATATCGCACAACGGTTTCGCCATCCATATCCGACACCAATGTTTCGTAAATTGAGGGCTCTACCGGTCCTTTCAATTCATACACCATTGAGTTCCTTGGCGCTGGAGAAGCCCGGCTAAGATCAATTGCCGCAGGCCCCGAGAACATAGAGACCGCGAAGGATGGCCGATAGCGTGAAAATGATTCTCTGCCATATGCACCGGATAGATGAGTCGGTAGCGGGTCCGCCATGCTACCCAACCAGGTTGAGTTCCGAAAATTATCGGACATTGAGGTTCGCGTATAGACGGAACTATGCAGTGCCGCACTGCCCTCTCTGTTAAAATGTGGCGACCCCAGTCGGTGATGGGTCACAGGAACCCCCAAAGCGGTGTTGGGGGTCTTTTCATCTGCAGATTTGGGCCGGTCATCAGATCTATCAATGACGATGCGCAGCTCCCCACGTTTCCCTGCTCCTGTCACGGATTGTTGCTCCGACAATGTCGAAAAAGATGTCGATTTCTGGAGGATGCGGCCAGTTGCCTCGGGATTGGTGTATTCGGTAAAGACCGACTTATTGTCCTCGTGTACATCTCCACGCGGGCGTAGTTCGGAGAGCTGCGAACTGGACCACCGCGATGGATCTTCTCGAACATGTGCGTGATGGGGCGGCTGGAGACGATCATTCGTCACTGAATCGATCGGGGTGAAAGGGACTGGCTGGGAGGGTTTCTGTTGGGGATTCGCAATCGGCCTAATTACGGGAGAAACATTGTTAGCTGACTGCAGCAGGTGTGTGACACGAGACCACGTCGCCGAGATTATCGATCGATCGTACCTGAGAAAGATCTTCCCATTCTGGCCGACACTGCCAACCGTAAAATGACCTGCTTTCCTCGGGGCCGGACGCGCCTCTAAAGGGCCCCGATGTGTTTGGGATCGTTGCAACGGGGTCTTTCGTATCAATTCATGGCTGTCTTTGGCTCGTAGGCCTGTCGTAACTGTCCGATCTCGGGCAATCTTCAGTTCTAAATTGCGCTTAATTATATTGCCGCTTTGTGCGACGGTATTGGCACGTCGTAATGTTGATATCGTCTTGGGGGTCCCTCCGCTGCGCGTTCGATACAAGGCGGGTAGTTCATCAACATGGACTCGAGGCTCGCCAGCCTTGCTTTTGGAATGAAACGGCGGGTCAATGCTCGCAGGCAATGGTTCCATCGGTTCCATTGCGGGCGGACGCGAGAGGCCTGGGCAACAGCTCTGCAGCGAACCGTTCAAGCCCCGTCGCGAAATGAAGAGGAGGTTCCAAGCTTAGAAACACGAATGCATCAGCAGCCTTGGAGCAGAACCCAAATTACGGCATGGAGGGTGTGAGAAGGTGATGGCGAGGACGAGAACGAAGATGAAGAAGAGAAGGTTAAGGCGATATTGACATGACGCAGGAAAGTGAAAGGGAGAGCGACAGCTCTGTTTTTGCCAAAGTGGAGTTGGGGAACGGTCCCGACGCGGTGGGACCAGTCATCAGTCGCCAGTCACCTCAGGCGAACGCTGGGTAAACCGTTCCTTCCCTCAGAGTCTATGACCCATGGTCCATGGTCGTGCCTTCCCACTTTGGAGAGTATCCGGAGTATATACTCCGTACTCCATAGTTACTCCGTACTCCGTTAGTTACTACTATCTAACTTCATCCTTTCCATCTTCTTACCTCACCCCCCTCCCATACCCTATTCTACATCCCATCAGCTGACGATCTCCAGTAACATGATTTCAGGTGATAGGTCATTGCCCCCACTTGTCCCTCGACCATTCGCCCCGGTGAAGCGGACCTCTTCCAGTCTTGGTTGGTCCATATTTCTGCCGCCGTTATCCCGTCTCCACTACGCGACGCTGGAACCCGCGAGCTGGTGAGCTGATGAATGGAGCTCTCAGCTCGCCCTGTCACTTGGATCCTGATTTCCGGTGCGCTTGTCTCATGCGGACCCGGGGCGATGGAAGGCGAGGGGAGGGGGTTCCACCTGTCCTCATCTGTGTCACTCCTTCGGATTTTCAAATTTCATATTTTAGATCGTTCAACTGAAGAAAGCCGTTGCTCGCTTCATTTTGCCCCCGGCTCCACGACCTGGCTCGGTCCGTGTGCTTTTGTTTGTTCTTTTAATTAACTAATTAATCCCGGTCGACGCTTCAATTCGCAATTTTGCGCCGCACACATGATCCACCGGGATCTCCCTTTTGACAATTCCCAGCGATCCCATCTCAAGTCGATCCCACCGACCCTCAGACCCCTGAGCCCCTCCATGATCTGCAGCGGAGGTTCGCTTTCGACGCGGGATCGCCTTTCTTGACTTGAGCTTTAACTCGATGCAGCACTAGATCTGACTGACCTGATGTGAGAGAAACTCGGCTCCCAACTCTCCATTACGACTCTGCAGATGATACCTCGGATGGCAGTACCACCTGCAGGCAAAAACAGATTTCATTTTCGAGTGTGAGGAGGGACAATGACTTCGGAAACCAAGTAATTCCTATTCAAGATCCCTGCGAAGGGATCGCTATTGATTGATGCTAATCGTAAAAATGGCACAAGGCGGTAAACTAAAAAAAAATTCCCCGAAATAGCCAGACAAAGGTCAAGTTAAAGAATGGTCAATTTGTACCATGTATGGTGTCACCAAAAATTAACTACCAGAGCTTGCAAACCGGTTTCTTCTCGGGACATTGGAATGCATCTTTGAACTCGCGAGAGTTGGCCATACTGAGGATGACCCGTGCTGACTTGGGCGCATGCGGGTCATTATAGATGGCTTGTTCTGCGGCCTCTTTGGTATTCTTGCCACACCACCAGTTGGCATAGGAAACAAAGAATAGCTGTTCCTTGCTGAAATTCGACAGGCCAGGGAGATGAAGATCAGGCTTGGCCTCGTCGTGCTTCTTCCAGGCGTGGAATGAGGCAGTGAGCCCACCAGCATCGGCAATGTTCTCACCTAGGGTCAAGCGTCCATTGACATGAAGAATCTTATTCCCTGGACCTTCCACAGTAAAGTCGGAATACTGGTCAACAAAACACTGGGCTCGCTTCTCGAATTCTTCGACGGTCTTATCGTCCCACCAGTCGGTGTAATTTCCGATCTCGTCGTAATGGCGACCGGTCGAGTCAAATGCTAGAGTCTATTAGACAAAAGATTGGCAGGTTTGTTATGATAAAGATACGTACCGTGCGAGAGCTCATGGCCGCTGACAGAGCCAAATGCACCATAGGCGAGATACAACGGGGCATTCGGTCCATAGAACGCTGGTGGCTGCATGATACCAGCGGGGAAAACAATCTCATTTCCAGGTGGGTTGTAGTAGGCATTGACCGTTGAGGCAGTCATATCCCATTCATCCCGGTTTGTTGGCTTGCCCAGCTTTGACCATTCACCGTGAAGCTCGAACTTGGAAGTGGCCAGTGCATTCTCAAAGTAAGTAGAGTTGGCCACCTCTAGGTCATGGTAGTATTTCTCAACATCTTGTGCATCCAGCACATTGGGGCTCTTGGTTGGAAACCCTATCTTCTGGACAATGTTCTCTACCTTCTTGATACCGAGCTTGCGAACCTCCGAAGACATCCAAGAAGTCTGGTCCAGTGTGAAAACAAATCGCTCCTTGATATCGGAAACGATCTGGTCGCCGAGCTTCTTGGATTCCTCGGAGAATGAGCTCAGGACGTAGAATCGGCTAAGGCTCCAGCCGAGACTTTCGTCGAGGTGATTGATGCACTTACGCCAGCGTTCTTCGGTGGCCTGCGGGTCTTTACCGGCCAACTCATTTTCAAACCGATGTATCGAGCTGACTTTGTCATCTTCAATGTAGCTAGCATATCGCTGGATGAGCTTCCATTGCAAAAAGAATGAAACAGTCTCCCGCGATGCATCATTCAAAATGTCAGACAAAGCTTTCATATATGTGGGTGAGCCAACAATCAAGCGGTCTCCCTTATATTCATGAGGGGCCAACTCTGTAATTATGTCGACAAAGGAGACCTCAGGAAGCAGCAATTCAGTCTCCTTGATGGTTCGTGGATTGTAGTACTTAGTCACATCCTCCTGTGTCTGAGTATCAGGAGTCACATTGGCAATCTTTTTTTCAAATGCGACGATGTTCTCGGCGATTTTGTCGTTGCCTCCAAATCCTTGGAGCACCTCCTTCAGAACATTGGTGTACTTGCTCACAATTTCTGTATTGTTGTAATACTCCAGTGCAGGAAGTCCAATCTTGCGCGGCGGTGACACAGAAATAATGACATTGTCAGGGTCCCGATCATCAGCCTATGGATCTCCAGATTAGATTACCCGGCTTTTTCGCGCAAGGCTTTTCGTGAAACTTACAGAAACGCCGGATGATACAAGTGCCTCAACTCCAGATTTCATCAGGAACAAGAGTGCACTGGTAAGATGATCTTGGGTTCCGGCGATCAATCCACTCTTGGAAGGATAGATGCTCTGCAGCCTGGCGAGCAGGTCATCTAGGGGCTTGCTGCCGCGTTGTTTGATCACAGATTCGTCCAAGCAGGCGTCGTAGGCAGCTTTAATCTTCTCAAAGTTGTTGACATCAGCCGAATCTCGAGCTTTGGACTGCTCCAAAACATGTCGAAGGGTGGTTTCGGCATTTTCCTCCATAATTGTCCCAGCGAAAATGGAACCCTGGTCAGCACGCATGTCATGGCGCTCTCTCCATCCACCGCAGACATATTGGTCGAAATCAGTGCAGGGGTCGATCTCATTGTACTTAGGGTCGAGGTTATAGAGGATCTCTGACGCGGCGTGGATACATTCCGGGGTTTGGCAGACGGCTGGTGGGGATTGTGGACGCGGGGTGGGGTCCTCAACAGACTCCGATGTCTTTCCTGGTAGTTGGAACCATAATCAGATTCATTCGACTTTACTCTGATCAAACACGAAAATAGGCATGATACATACCGTGGAAAAATCCAACAACCATGTAGATCAAGAGCCCAACCCAGCAGATTGTCACCCCACTCTTCAACAGATCTCGCAAGGGGTGGGCTCTCGGACTCTCACGACGACCGCTTGAAATGGATGTATCATTGAAATACGCAGCTTGTTCTTCATCATTGAAAAGTTCCTGCTTCTCCTCAAGCTGGATCTCGTCCTGATAGATCCTTCCAGGCTGCTCGATCTTGCTGGGGAGCTATCAGCACTAGCTACGCTTGATCAGGCGGCATTGACTTGACTAACCTGCCAAGTGGCTGCGCCATAGTGATAATTTCTGGCAACAAACCAGCTTCGGTGTGTAAGTGGTGAAATCTTGAGCTTTTCGGCTGTGTTGGACAAGCAAAGAGACGACTCCGCACGGGGATTTGGGGAAAGCTGAGACAGTCATCACATGCCCAATATGCTGAGTCATGCACATTGCATCATATCCAAATCAGGCAAGTGAGGTTGCACGAACTAGTCAAAACTAATGCAGCAGCAGCATCAAGCGATGCAGAGACATCTCAGGGAATATCGCATATTATGATTCTTCCAAGGTTTCTTTCGTTTTTCCATGTATGTAAGACGGCATGCTGCATGATCTTGGATCATCTATTGTTCAAGGTCCGCTCAGTGTTCGGATAGTATATGGCTCAAACACTTCAGGATGGTCATAGTGTTAGTATATAGACGTTTGAGTATGGTGGTACGTTGAAAGTATCCTTAAAATCTACTATCTAGGTAGCTTTAGAGTAGTAATCTAATCACAACTTCTTCCAAGAGGTAGTACACATCAAAATTGTCTTAAGACTCAGATTGCTACTCAGATATCAATACATCTAATTTTATAGTTGCCCAGGTGGATCACTGTATATACGATAAATTCCAGTCTCTTTTACACCCATTTATATGAGCCGCAAAGCGGTAACCTCTACGCCGGGTCCTCTACAGAGGGGATAAAGAACTTGGTCTGCATAGTAAGTCTTTCGCACGGGAGGAAACAACGATACGTAGGTATCGCCATTTTGACAGTCGATCAATGAATGATGTGACCGGACTTCCAAGGTTTCTATCCTTCCAGCACAGTACTAGCACCACTAGTAAGACAGACAAAGTCGCTAATAGACCTTCTATCACCCTCAAAAGAGCAATTCAGGCTCTAACGCACATCACTCGAAATGTGATACCCGATCGATGGCTCTCTCAACGAGATCTTGAGCAGCCAAGCTTCACTTATTGTCGGTCGGGCATTCTAGCGCATAGCACACCATGCATTTCAAGCCTGGTATAGTGAATATAATTCAAAATCAACTTCATAATTCGTATACAGATGTCATTTGTTTAGTATCAAAAGATTCCCTCTAAGTGGGCCGGTGCAGTCGCAACTTGAAGGTTATATCCCTCAGACTTTTATCCTTGAGCCCGATAATGACAACATTCGCGTACAACAATCTTTGGCCCCCTGAATTGAGGCGATTGACAAGCAATGGAACAGCCAGCGTTATTGATCAATTCATGTTTTATTCCCTATATGCTCAAAGCTGAACAAAGCGATTCTGTGATATTTTACGGAGTCACTCGAGTGATTCGGTGAATTATCGCGTAACGAAGTTTGGAATTTAGATTCTAAATGAGCCCTGGTCCTCTAAAACTGACTGGTAAATTGTGTAGTAGTTCGCTAAAAGCCGTAAACGCCGAACCCCAGATGCCAGAGTGGAATTTAACGTGGACACCAAAACGTAGTGGAGTCTGTAATCAACTTACATTATTCCGAAAGGATTGCCGGGACTCGGAAGAATATACTATCAGGTGTCAGCCCTGGAGTCCATATCGATAGTCAGTGTGCATTGCGTCAAGATTCGACCAAGCAAAGATACTACTAGTAACTGTCTTGCCTAAAGATAGTAACAAAGGCGCGCCCCGGGGGCCAGGAACAAAAGCACCAGGCGTGAATAAGAAAGCATAAAAGATTGGACGCTCTTGCAAGGTCATTCGTTATTCAAAGAACCTGGTACCTGTGCACCGGAGCAAATCCCGAAAAGCCGGGCCTAGCTCTGGGTGGCGGCACCCCTGAAGGATATGATCTGGCCTGCTGTCAAATGCTGATCGACAGCGGTTAATTTGCCCTGTTCCACTAGTCACCGTTTTGGGACCGTTTGCCCGTTGGACCATGCTCCAATCCCTATTCAAACCGCCACCTTCCCTGGTCGGAAAAAACCCTGGACAAAATAAGTTTTATTCTAGCGGTGTGGCGGCTGTTGCTTCCGGTAAGTTACTTTGTTCTCCTGAGAAGTCGTCTGTGTATTAAGTTAGATTTGGCTGATCAAAGGCATCAAATTCCGCATTACGCATCAATTGACGCAGTGGGACTGATTAGGCGAAGTTAGAGGTTCCCCAGGGTGGCGATCGACATTAAAATGAAGGATTGCATGACGGGCTAGGTATCATGGCTGGTTAGTTAGCTTACCAACTGCCATCGTCTTCAAGGTTGAAGGAGGATACATCATATCTACCAGGTTTGACAATTGATAGGTCCTTTACCTCGTGTCCTATTTTGGAAGGTTAAGCTTATAATAAGTTTCGTTTTTGTTTGATCGTAGTAAATGTTAATTCAAGGTCTATACTATATCTTTGGAGTTACTTAAGGGAGACATCCATATCGAAAGGTGTCATGGTTCAACCCCGCGTTCCATGTTTCAGCCATACTACCTAGGCAGTGACGGTTCGCCCAATTTGATTTCTGACCCGGTACCTAGGTAACTTGTAGTTAAACCCCGTAGTATCGATGCCCAATCACCTGATTCTAACCAAGTACTCGGAGAAATTTTGCTCGCCAATCGGCCATCTGAGATCAAAGTCAGCCAATCCCTCCGATAGGCACATCTGGTCTCCACATTATAGTTTACAAAGGATCACCCCTGCCTTAGTACTCCGTAGGAAGACGGCGTATTTCAATATCTTGCAAGCATTTTTTTTTTCATAAAACCGGAAATGACCAACCGAAGAGGGGCCACGAGCCTCGAGGGCGGGACGTGCGGGCCACATGGTAAAAGACTCATGGTATTGTGGGGTGCAGATACGGGTTACAGTTACAGCACGATCGAGCCCGAGAAAAAAAAATAGAACAGCGCTCCACTTGGCCACTGGGTCCCTTGAGCACATGGCTCTGTGTTTGTGTTTCCCGAGTACAAACGGATACAAGAAGGGACTCGGATCTTCTTTGGAACCGAGAGCTAGCTTGTATGGTGTACAAATCAAATACCCAACGATGGCGACCCTCAGGGAGACATTTGTGGTGTGGAGTTGCTGTCTATGACATGCTCCACCAACGTATTGACGAACTTTACTCGCCCATAGTACTCGATGGATCACGTCTGGTAGCTGGGGCCGTCTTCAAAATGAAATGTTGGGTAGTCGGGCAAAAGACTCTCCGTTACGGGGTCTCTGGCCCATTTCTTTGGGGCTTTCTAGTGTGCAGCAGAAATCGTACGGTGTTCTCTGTCCTCCGTTGGGAGATCAGATTAAGATACTCAGCCGCTGGAACCTCAGCAGTAAGTGTACTAGCTTACGAATACATCAGTGGGATAAATGGGGAATATTTTTGGGTTCTTCTACATCCATAGTCCGCACTACACCAGGGGTATGTAGTACTCCGTAAATACATAACTCCAGGAGATCGGCCATGACGAAGGACAGATTGGTGGCCGGAGCAGATACCTTTCTGTGTGGGGAGCTAGACGCAAGACGGATAGGAGTCAAGATGGTCAAAGCATGTGGGCTAAGCGGCGCGCAGGGACAGGATTCCACCGACGTTTCAGAAAAATCCTTGCGTTTGGTGATACGCACCGCCCGCGCGGTTTCAGCGAATTCATGCCGATCGCTGCAGCACGCATACCGCATGGCGGCTTGGCGCGCAGCGAAGAACAAGAACCATCGAAAATTCCCCACTGTGCCCGTCCCTGACCCGGTTGCTCTCGGAAGGGCAAGTGTGGACTAGTGATGTGCACAGGGGAGATTGGACTTGGATGTTGACGATTACAGGTGTAGCACTCTGTAATCGGGACTCGGTACTCCATACTCTGCACTCTGTATGTACAGGGCTAGATGCAAGGAGTCTGAGCTCAATAGCGACGAATAATGCAATTGCTCGCAAAGTGCGATAGTGTTCTGATTGGCTCCATTGCAAGGGACGCTCCGAGGCGACTTCAATAGCGCCGGAGGTAGGTCAGTCAGATCCTCAGCCCCTGCGTCAAGCGACCGAGGGCCACGATTTAGAGAAATTCGAGAATCCTTCGTTGCGCGTGGGAGGCTGTGTGGTATGGTATGTGAGTAAGTGATGTAACCACGTAGTACTCCGTATGTATAGCATACTTATGTATGTATGTATGTATGTATGTATGTACCTATGTCGACATTTGTGAGGATCAGGGTTCTCCATCCAGGTGCAGGTGCAGGAGCTTGATGGGCCCAAGCAAAAAAGAGGGCGGAATGTCCACCGTTCGAGGGCATTGTTCCGTATGGAGCTTGGCCTGTGTCCTTTTTGTAGATGTATTTATTTCGGCAAATCAAAACAGGGGGGTGTTGGACCCATTTCCCTGGTGGATCTGCTTAGTGTTGTCTGTATGTACGGAGTACTGTACCACCTCTCGACAGGAAGAGAGACTCGGACCAAATGGTACCTAGGTAGAAAATGTAGATAATTTGAGTGGGAAAAAAGTACCACTTGTAAGCCACATTCCAAGCCAGAGTCATTAAAGCATTTGAATATTTATTTGGAGGGGGGGGGGGGGAAAAAATAGAGTCGAGTACTCCGTAAAGGTAAGAGAATGCAAACTATCCTCCGCATCGAAGCCAACGATAAACCCCCATCGCGCGACACTTACGGTCTAGTCATCTCCTCCCCGCTTGTGGACTCTCCCTTCTCTCTCTCTCGTGGGACGGCAGAGATGTACTACCGGTTTCGCTGATGCTTCCTCTGTTACCTCCCCTTTCTCTCTTCCTTTCCCCAATTCGCATTCACATTCGCCCTTTCCTTCTCGTTCGTGAGACTCTTTCGCTCGGTGATCCGATCGCATCCTCTTCTTGCCAGTTGGATTTGCCCCCTTCGTCCTTTCTTTCGTTAAACGACACCCGGGCCACCAGGAAGAGTAGATCCCGAGACGACCGATTCACTACTGTTGGCATTTCATTTACATGACCCCCGCGACTCGAAAGTCTGGGCCTCTCCCACATCCCAAAGTCACGCCCGCAAGCGCGCGGATTTAACCTCGACCGTAACCTTTTACTCCCTTCACCCCTCCCTCCCCCTTCGAATCGATCTACGAACCGACGTCGCACTTGCCACGTTAACGGACTCGGTGCTCCTAAGCTCGCCTCGGAGGATAATTTCGCCCAATTGCAAATTCGGCGGCGCAATTTACAACACAACCGTGCCTAGGGTGTGGGGACGAACCGATCGAAGCTCCCACGATCGCCCAGACTACTCGACTCGGCTCGACCTCACAACCGTTGATTTGCTGTCTCAGCCTGGTTTTAAGCTCGGACAAGGGTCTACTATCCGTTTGGTATGGCAACCCCCTTTATGTCTCCTAGTGCAATGGCCGTAATATCGAGCCTGGCCGGGTCCTAATGTCTCTGAGTGCGAGCTGCGGCCGCGCATTCCCGTCGCATCCCTGATTCAGATCGACTCGACCCAGCGCCGTCATGACCTCCTGCTCAACAAACTCTTCATGTTCTTAAGCGTTCTTGATAATCGTGATACTAACCGAACCATTGTGATTTAGTTCTTGGATCATGGGCTGTATAAATTCTAAGCCGGCGGAGTCGGATCGAGAGGCCTTCCAGCAAAATGCTCGCATTGACCGGACCCTCAAGAATGACAAGAAGACGATGGATCGTACGATCAAGATATTGCTACTAGGTACGTGATATCCGGCCATGGATAATCTGTGCTGCATGGCAAAAGCGGTATCGCTGACTAGTGAACCAGGTGCTGGAGAGTCTGGAAAGTCGACCATTATCAAACAAATGCGCATCATTCACAGCCGAGGCTTCCCGGAAGAGGAGCGTCACCAAACACGAGCCGTCATCTACTCCAATATTGTAATTGCATTTAAGGTCCTTTTGGATATCATGAATTCCGAAAACATCAAGTTTGAAGACGATGACACTAAGGTACATCCCACGTACCCTATTCAATTTTTTGATACAATGTGCTCACAACTTTTGATAGTCATTGGCGGATATACTGGATAGCACAGAAGCGGATGTAGGATCAGATGAGGCATTCTCTAATCTGAAGATTCGAGATGCTATGAGAGGAATGTGGAAAGATTCTGGAGTCCAGAAAGCCGTTGCACGTGGACATGAATTTGCGCTACATGACAACTTGGTCTAGTAAGTTTTCTCACAAGTGTCCACCACAACGGAGACATACTAATAAAACCCCCCTAGCTTCTATGAGTCCTTGGATCGAATCTTCACACCCGGATGGCTTCCCGACAATCAAGATATGCTGCAAGCACGACTTCGGACAACCGGAATTACAGAAACATTGTTTGAACTTGGACAGATGAACTTCCGCATGATGGACGTGGGCGGACAGCGTTCTGAGCGGAAGAAATGGATCCATTGCTTTGAAGGCGTTCAGTGTCTTCTTTTCATGGTGGCTCTTTCTGGTTACGACCAATGTCTAGTCGAGGACCAAAATGCTGTATGTCATACCTTTCCTGAGCCTCATTTACCTACCGCAGTTGCTAATTCTCCCCTGCAGAACCAAATGCACGAAGCCATGATGCTGTTTGAGTCACTTGTCAATGGCGAGTGGTTCAAACGCAAGCCCATCATTCTTTTCTTGAACAAAATGGATCTGTTCAAAGACAAACTAGACATCTCCTCGATCTCAAAACATTTCCCTGACTACACAGGCCCCGACACCGACTTCGAGGCCGCCTACCGGTACTTTTCTGAACGATTCCGCGGTATCAACCGAATTCCTGATCGTGAGATCTACATCCATAAAACCAACGCTACCGATACGCAGCTGTTGAAGGTCACCATGGACTCTGTCCAGGATATGATCATTCAGAAGAACCTCCACACTCTCATACTATAAGGCCCCAAGATCCACGCCCTCGGTCGCCTTCATGATAACGCCATTGTTTGCCACGAAGTCGATTCCTTCCTTCCTTTCAGTCGAGCTTTCTAGCCTACCCTTTTCTGTGTTGCATTCCCCGGCGGCTTCATTTGTCATTCTGTCCCCGGCAATCTTGTCATACCACATCTTTCTTTTTCCATTATTTACTTTCACGAGGCGTCTTGATAGAGGAGTAGCTGGCTTTCTGCTATATCCTTGGGTCTATTACGTTGCATCCAAAAGCCCATTCGATTTCGTTAGCTCATGCCACGCTTCGATTTCCAGCGACGGTACTATTTTTTTTCTTTCTCTCTGTACTCGACCCCGCAGGATGATACCATTTGTTTTATCTCTGCGGATTTGTTTTATCTAATGATGCGTCTGTATCACTACATTATTCTTCCACCTTTCTTTATCTTGGAATGCCCCATCAAGTCTACACTTGTATCTCCTTGGTATGGTTGGCTTGGTGATCTACTGTACTACACACTTTACGCTCTCCTACTCTAGTTCGCTGAATTAATCTATCATACCGCTGCACATAGCTGTAATGGTCTTTTTTCCCAACATGGATTTGCTACTGAATCTCGTTCATGACAATCAATATTATCATTATTGTCTCTTCTGACATGACCAAGGTGAGGAGATGCTAAATCAAGCGTTCCAGCCGCACGTGGTGCGTTGGTGCCTCAGGTGTCAATATTATGTAAGATCCGCATGATCAGAGACGCCGACTTCCGACCCGACGATTTCGCCTCCGGTTCAGACTCACCGTCACCGTCTTCCCAGTTACTGGGTCTCACGTCAACCATGTTGTCGACATCATTAAGCCGGGCTGCCTGGGCGCCTTTGTCTGGCATAGCTCGTTCCACCCAAACTGTGCCCTCAGCCGGCCTCCTTGGTGCCACCCGCCGAGTACACCAGCGCCGCTACTCTTCGTCTTCCTCCAAACCTCCAGTTCCGCCCAGCGATGGGCCTCGGCGCATGGACACCTCCGCTCCGGCGAAAAATGTGAACTCTTCGGGTGAGAAGAGTAAGGTCTCTCGCCGCCGTGGAAAGGAAAATGGCGGTCGCAACGTCTCGAAGAACGGTCAGCAGGATGCGGCATTTTCGAACCTTCCGAGCGTTCCTTCAACACAGCACAGACAGCCACACGGTATGTCCCTTGAGCATGTCCCTTGAGCAAAACGAATAGTCACCATGTCCATACTCACTCTTATTTTCCTACAGATGTCCACGTCGCTTCGTTCTTCTCTATCCATCGGCCCATCTCCGTGACCACCACGGTTCCTCCGACCTCGTCTTCCGAAGCTTTCGATGCTCTCTTTTCTACAAAGAAGTTCATGAAGAATGAACCGGAGGACGTCATCTTCACTCTTTCCAACACCGCCCAGTCGATGGAGAGCATGGCACACGGTATGGAATCGGAGGACCAATTCGGCCAGCTCCAGCGCAGCTTCGCAAGCGATGCCGATGGTGAGCTCCGTATGCTCGACGGCCAGGAGTCCAAGATGACCGTCGAGGAATACACTCGTCGTCTTCGCCCATTCCACCCACCCCCACCCCCGGTCCCTATGGATATGAACGCCAACGCCGAGTCTACGGCGGCCTTTGAAGCAGAGAACCAGGAGGAATTCTCTACATACTCGACTGTTCTGACCATTCGCGAGTCCCGCCATGCTGACGGCCGCAAGACATACGAGGCATCCACTGGTCCTTTCGTCCGGGGTGACATGGAGGCACCTGCTGGTGAACAAGAAGGTCTCACTATCGATGCACCGAGCGACACCGCCGGCATGACCTATGTCGAGCGCCTTCGCCACAACAGCTCCATGCACGCCATCAGCACTAAGCGCCGCCGCAAGGTCAAGATGAAGAAGCACAAGTTCAAGAAGCTGATGCGGAGGACGCGCACCCTTAGACGCAAGCTTGACAAGGCTTAGACTCGCCCTCGGTCACTTTTCTACTTCTCTGCTTTCCTAATTCTCCTGTATGGGTCTCTTTGATGCATATCTGGCTTGCGTCTTGCATCTTTGGGTTGAGGTGTAGTATTGTCTTATTCGCCCAAGGCATATATCCTGCTTTTTGTATTACTTCGTACATTGCACTTTTTCTTTTCTCTCTCTCTATTTCTCTTCTGAGTTCTTGTTCGTTTCCTCTCCTCTTCCACCCTACATACTCTATCCAAATATCCAATCGTCGCCCCATCTCTGGTTTTTGGCCTTTTCGGTGCAATGGTTGCTTTTCCAATGTGTGGGCAGTTTGTTGGCCTGCGTGCATCGCGGAATACTCAATAGATCTGTCTTGATGTTTGTTGAACGCCTATTTGCTGCTCTAGTCGGCTTATATCCTACCGCTTTACAGGTAGCTAGAACGACAACGATGATTTTTTGACAAGAGAAATGGCTTGGCTTTTGATTTTCATCTGGGTGAAAATCTTTTGCTGTGGCGCTTCCAAATATAGGCAAAGTCTGAAATCAGTATCATCGGTAGTTCTTGGTGCTCAGACGACTATTTTCTACAGTAGACCGATTTTTCCATGGGAGATTGGTACGTAATGCACAAGTTCAGGGTTGCGTTGGCATATCAAGTACACAAAAGCCCGACAAACCAAAGAGAAAACACACACATGAAAAGAACGAACCCGAGAGGTCAAAATAGAGGGCAGCAACGGGACAAGCGAGAAACCTCGCAGTTGTCACCAAAGGAGAAGAAGGGGAGAGGAGATCCGATCCCAGACCAGCAAACCCCGTCAAAAGTAAAGTACAATATCCAGCGCGCATTCATGCAAATATAAGCAAATCCGATATCTACCAACTCATTCCACACCTAGTCCGGGTCCAAAATGCTTGTTGTTCCCGGATCTCTACATACCACATTTGATCCAAAAGGGAAGACATCCCCTTTCATAAACAAAATGAATTTATCATAGCCGAAATCTTTTCCTTTTCTGCATCACATCCCTTCCTCGGACCCGACACGGCATTGGTGAATACGTGCTTTATGTGTATCGGGAGTGTTGAGGAAAGGCACGCCGGAAAAACGAAGTATTTAAACCCGTATCCCATTCTTTGAATGTATAGGGTCCAATTTCCAAGCGCGACAATACGCTTATTGCTTAGCAGACGGCCTTTGAGCGGGAGTTCATGAGCAGAGCGACAATCAAGCCGTAAAGACCTGTGATGAGAGGAAATAATTAGAATGACGCGGGAAGAACTAGACGGTTGAGGTACAAGCTTACCCAGGACTTCAGCGAAAATGAGAATCAGAATCATTCCGACGTAAAGACGAGGTTGCTGAGCAGTTCCTCGCACACCAGCATCACCAACAATACCAATAGCGAAACTGGGTCGTGTTAGCGCATAAACGAGGCAGAGACCCGAAAGATCCGAAAAACGAATACATACCCAGCAGCAAGACCGGCCAGACCGACAGCAAGACCAGCACCAAGTTGAATGAACCCAGTGTATAGAGGGAGCTTCTGGGTCAGGTCGTTGGCGACCAGGACGGACACGACCAGACCGTAGATACCAATGATACCAGCCATGACAATGGGGACAATGTCTGTAACGAATTAGTAAGTTGCTGTTCAGACAAATTCTCTGAGCTGATGCTTCGGTTTCTGAGGTCGACATACTCTTAACGATCAGGTCGGGGCGGAGGACAGCCATGCTGCAAACACCGACACCAGCCTTGGCAGTGCCATAGGCAGCACCGAAGCAGGTGAAGACGATGGCGGACGTGCAGCCCAGCGCACCGAAGAAGGGCTAGAAAGAGGAGACATCAGTCATTAGGCCAAGACGAGTTCGACAAGCTGTAATCATGAATGGGGATCGGGAGGCTGGAACACGGGGGTGTATGCTGGAACTGGACCAAGGATGGTTATCGAGGGAGATAGACTAACCGCATAGACGGGGCTGTTTTGAAGTTCATGTTAGCTAGAATTCACGATTGCAAGCAATTCTTTGACTGATGCGACGGCAGACCGGGGTTCGATAGCTGTCAAGCAACCCAGGGGGCTAAAGGCGTCTCCAGAACGACTTACCAAAGTTCAGTGGCCATTTTGACGGAGCAAGTGACCCAAAAAGGTGATTCACAGAAACTCGAAGCTTGAAATTGATGGTAGGAGACCCGGTTGGTGCAAGCTCAAGCCGTGAAGGAGGAGGATGCGGTAATCGGGGAGGATGGAGAGTGCTACGAGGTCAGTCAGAGGCCACGCCGGTCCGTAGTCACGTGTTTTCCCAGGTTGGCGCACCCCACCCATTCTATACTATCATCACAAAATGGCTCAATTCTGTAATCTAGATAAGAAACCTGAGTTTTCAAGTTCATACTTTGGTGATATTACAGTGGATAGAGAGATGGATTTTTGGCCAAGTCATAAGCGCTCGAATGAATATACAGACTTCAAATTGTTCGTTGTCATTCAAGTTCTTTGTTGTACAGTTGGATTTTTTCTAATTAATCTACATTTTCCGGGCAAAGTCTCACTCAGAATCTATTGCGGGACTGAGAATGACTTGACATCCCGGTATATCGAGTTTCGTGTTGAGGCCAGACGCCCATTCCACCGTCTCCTTCTCTTCGTCCACAGGCATAGACCGAGAATAGGTGATCCCTTTCTCCGAGAGTGCCCCGAAGGCATTTGGGAGCGAGATAAGAGCTTGAATCTCGTTTGAGTGCGTATCAAGTTGTTCGGCATCAGACACTATTCCAAAAGAGTAATAGATTGTATCTGCAGGCGCGTTGGCCTGTCTCGACGCCTTCTGCGGAGAAGGTGTTGGTTCCCCCGACACGTAAAATTGGATGAAGTCGCCTTCTGTTGCGACTTGCGACAGTATTGAGAGATCATCGCCAATCAACCCATTTGGAAAAGACGGTGGCAGGTCTGACACCTTGCTTGTGTTATGACTGAAGAGATCATCTAGATGATCGAGTTCCACCTGACCAGCGGTGCCAGGAAAGGCGATTTCTGGATCTAGAGAAAGCAGACCCTGTTTCTTTCCCCATCCACCCCCGCCGCTTATGACACGATGTAATTTACCTCCGTGAGAGACAGATTCCAAAAGGCCAGATTGTGAGCATGAGACAGTCGTCGTGGATTTCTCAACCAAGGCCCAGACAGAGACTCTCTGGTCGACGATATTATTCTCAGAGATATAGCGAGGGAGCTCCTTCTCCAACTCGGAGGAGGCGGGCATAGGTGTAAACGAACACGGGTCTGTTGATTTCGATATTTGTCGTAAGATATTACCCATACTCGAGATGACCTTCCGTCGCTGACCCACGGGATGAAGCGGTAATGTCAATGTAGATTGAATGTCGGCAACGGGTGACGAAGACCTGACAATACAATTTGTCAAATCAACAGACTCTTTCAAGACAAATGCACCATTGTCTCCCGCTGTTTTATCCCAAGTCCAGCGCATTCCAACCAGCGTCGATTCCTTGCCGTTGATGAATATGGTATGCGCAAGTCGCAGGCCAATTTGGTGAGTTGAGAGATCCGCGGCGTCTACAGAGATTCCAAGATCAGGCTCCTCCAATGCAGGGCCCCCAAAGCGACGTGGAGGAGCAGCCTTCCCTTGCACATTGAGTTGCGGTACAGCAAGCAGAGACAGGCCTTCAGGTTCTGTGCCTTCAAAAGAGGCGCTTGTTTGGGAGGGTGCCGTGGGAAATGCGGATGTGTTTGGGAGCTTATCGATTATGGCTGCAACTGCATATATAGGATCCGAGCCGGCATATAATCGACCAAGCAATTTGGGGAGAAATTCATCGGTCGGGTCGAGCCAGTGTGCGAATTTGGGAGTAACAAGGAGGAGGGGGGTGGTATCTTTGGCGGGCGAGGAAACAAGGCTTGATAGGATATCATCTGCTCTCTAGACTCAACTGTTAGAGTTTCTCAAGAAGACAAAGTTTGATTAGCGTACAATTGATTCCGGTGTTTTGGTGAGCCAAGTATGGGCGAAAGGCATATCACCAAAGCTCTTTGTCGCAATCCATCTGTTCGCGCAAATTGACCTTGATGGAGCTCGGTGTGAGCTGCGCGTCAGGCGCGGTGTCACCGGATTTGATCGCAAAGGCATATACATTGCTATAGCACGCCAGAGATTACCAAGAATAGGACATAACTGTAAGCAAATGTGGTAAGCGCAGCAAGTTGAGGAACCTTGAACAATCACCGCGGAGCTGAAATTCGGAAAGTTATTAAATTGCCGTGTAATACATATACACCATACATACAAAGTTGGGCATGATACATGTATCTAAATACATCAGCTCTAACCCAATTAGGAAGGTAATCCGCGGACATCCGCGGATGGCCCGGCATCATTTGCGTTGTCTTCACCTCTGAATGGCTATCATCTCGTGGAGCTAGTTATCACGTTAGAATCTCCGTATTTACAGTTGAGACTCATCGGACCCTCTGGTAGCGAGTGCGGGCCCTGCACTATATAAGCAGAGCCTCCGCGGACGTCCGCAGTTGTCCGCGGTTGTCCATACTGGCAGCAAAATGAAGCGTAACAACACAGGTAAACCAATCACGACGGTTGGTCGATGGTCTCAGCCAACACTGTCATGCTTTGCATGCCGTGAGAAGAAACGTCGATGTGACCGCGTTCAGCCATGTTCCAATTGTGTCCAAAGGCGCATTCCATGCGAATACTCCGGGCCCCGTTCACATGCGGCGATTGGCCTAGATGCAGTACAAAGGTCCGCCTCTTGTGAGATCAGACATGCAGAAAAGGATACGCCCCAATTGAAGCCCTCTGCCCAGTGAGTCTTTTGTACCTTTCGATAGATCCCATGATTCCATCTGCTGACTGTTCAAGTAATTCTGACGAACTCCTATATCGAATTCGGAGACTGGAAGAATCGGTTTCCAGAAGACCAGGCATAGCTCAGGAGTTTTTCAACAATAATCAAGACACAATTTCATTCAGAGACACAGAAAATCCGGTAGGATCCCTATCGCTTTGAAAACGTCAACACTGCAAGTTCCTGATGCCTACTATAGACTTTTGGCTCCCACTATGTCACTCCTTTCAGTGCTCATATATCCTCTACTTGGAATACAGAAGACCGAGGCTTAAGCATATATGAAATAACAAGACGACTACCTCCTTTCCATCAAGCCAAGGACTTATTTGAACACTTTGCGACCACATTTCAACCGACCTTTGGAGTTCTACACATCCCCACTGCTCGAAAACTTATGGAGAGAACTTACCAATGCATGCTCGAAGGTGAAGAGCCCCCCTGCGTCTGACTTACTGCTAGTCTTTGGCATTTTTGCTGGATCCGCACTCATTTGGACGCCGCGACTTCTCGAAAAACTGGCTACTACGAAGGTTGGGGTGAAAGCAGCTTTCATAGCTTATGTCCGCACTGCACTTGCAGTACTAGAGCATCCAGATCAAATAATTCAACCATCAACTACATCTCTTGTTGGTATGGGGATCCTCGGACATTTGCTCATGAATACCGATGGATTCCCGATCAAAGTCCATCTGATTCGACACCGGGCTTTATTAATGTCACGGGATTTGCAAATCCATCGCCTAGACACTGCTAGAGCCTGCGAAGAGCGACGGATTAAAGGATGCGATATGATAGATCTCGAGGTTCAGAGGCGCGCTTGGTGGAATATGGTTGCGTCTGACTGGTGAGTTGCCATCCATAGAACCCTGCTATCTGCAATCATGCTTACCCGAAAGGCTTCTCTCATTTTCCGGTGGTCCCCAAGAGGGTGCATACACGTTCCAGTCTAAGCATATGAAAGTGAACTTACCCAGCAATACGGATGATGAATTGATCACAGCATCGGGAGTTCAGCAAGAATTCCCTTTGTCTGTTCCCACAGCCATGTCGGCATTTTTTGCCCGGGTCCAGGCATCTGAACTTTGCCGTGATGTTATTGATGCCTTGCCGTCCATTATGTTGGACTCCCAAGAGTGTGATTATGAGACCATTTTAGAGCTAGATGCCAAGTTCCAGAAGCATATGGACGATCTCCCTTTCTTCTTCAGGCTTGACCAGGCCAGCATTGAGCAAAGTCGACAAATATGCAAGGAACGACCATACATTGCCTGGCAACGGGTCACTCTTCATTTCAGCCTCCACACACGCCTCTGCCGACTCCACAGGCCCTATCATCTTGAAGGTATCACAAACCCGAAATACGCCTACTCCCACAAAAGTTGCATTCGATCTGCGCAGAAAGTCCTGGAATTGCGGCGTTCGATGGACGAAATTGCAGTCGGGGTTGGACTCAGCCCATCGCGTTTCTGGACCGTCATGCATCATCTGTTCTTCGCGGCGCTAATTCTCGCCATGGATGTATCATTCAACCCGCACGCACCCGACGCCGAGGCTCGCAAAGCAAAAGTACTGGCAGCGTACCAGACATTGGAGAACTCGAAGCACGATTCAAATTATCTCATGGAAGGAATTCAGAAGAATTTACAGACTCTCATGTCAACCCTTCATAAAAATCGGCCACAGACTTCTGGTACAGGGACCGGTGTTGTGCAAAGTGGTGTTTTCGCCGAGACAGGCCAAGCGCCCGACCGACTTGGCGAATCGTCGACAACTCACGAGGGTGGTGGAGACGGGATTGGTGCACAGCTGGCCGTGAATGAAGAATTAGACCTCGGCATTGTTAATGACTTGGACCAGGAAGGTTGGGAGCAGCTCTGGTCGGAATTTGTGGCCGTTGCGCCAGAACTGGACGTTCCACAGTGGAGCTCATTACTGGAGGACGTTGATTTCAATCCACAGCTGGACGCATACTATTAGGCGGGACAAGTTCATTTCCTAAATCTAGAACACAGTCCACTTCCGACCTAGCCAGCTGTCTACTGCTTATATACGGAGTGCGGAGAGTTGAGGTTATTGCTCCTCCCAACCCAAAATCAAAAGCCGATTCCGAGCCCGAGATTCTTCAGGTCACTCAACTTGCGTCAGTAGGGAATTGTACGGAGCACGAAGTACAGGAACCTGCTTTTTTGCAATTTAGATCAGCCACAACGAATGTCGCACGAGGACAGGACTCGAACTAGCCAAGCGATAAGTGAAGTCATGAGTGACCAATGGCACTGCGGAGGCTAGGCATCAGCTTGGCAAGTGGGGGGAGGTAAGGGGATACCCTAAGGTAGGGCGTGTAGGGCTGGTCGTTGAGCAAACGCCACAGTGACGAATGTGTACCTCGGAGAACTCGCAATGGAACGAGGATTCCATACTTTGTACTTTGTACATGTGTTCAGAGTACTTGTACTCGGTACACATACATGGACTGTACTTAAAGTGTGCTCCGTATGAAGTGCTCCGTATGAAGTGCTCCGTATGAAGTGCTCCGTATGAAGTGCTCCGTACGGAATACCCCGTACAGCGTGTATCTGGAGATCGCTCTGGAGCAGGTTGGTGGCACACCAAAGCAAGTTCCCCCAGCCACGTCAGGCCAATGCCAAGCTTCTTGCCAGGCAACCAGGAAACGGGCGGTTGGGATAGGGCGGTTGAGAATGAAGATCCAGGGCCGAGACCGGAAATGATTGGGGATGGCTGCAGCGTGCAGCAGATCCTGCAGTGATAATCCTGGAGGAAGACAAGGTTAGAATATGTGATGACTGTCAACCAGCGCCTATCGAAATTCCACCTGGAAGAGTACTGGGACTCAGTACGAAGTACGGTGTACTAGTAATTTCCAAGGTTGCCAAGAGAAAGCGCACAGCCACAGGCAGCCAGATTTACAGTACACAATACCTATTGTGGATTCTGTCATCCAATCACAGGTAACTGTGGCAGGTGCTCCGTATACATCAAACTGAGCCACAAGCAGTCAATGACGCAACGGAATCGGGAGCTTCCTTCCTCAGGTTCCCTGCCTTCTTAAAAAGACCTGCACCTGCCTGGTTCCCACCCCCTGATTCCACCTACTCTCTCTCTCTCTCTCTCTCTCTATTTCCCCACCACATTTTACCTCTACCTCTTGATTTCCCTAGGAAACTACCGCCATCATGTCTGGTTCTGCGTGAGTCCCTACATCCCCTGTGCCTTGTTTTTGGCATACCTCCCAAGTTAATCTTTAGCCTGGGTGATATGATCTGACTGCACTCGTCCCACCCCCAATTGGACCATATAGCTATAACCGTGACCGTGGCCATGATTGCTGACTCTCCCCAGTGATTTGTGCAATATCCTTATTGCCATCTTCCTGCCTCCTCTGAGTGTCTTCCTCCAACGCAGCTGTGGTTGCCAGCTGCTGATCAACATCATTCTCACCTGCATGGGTTGGATTCCTGGTTCTGCCCACGCTATGTATGTGCCCAATTTTTTTCCTCGTTGGAGATCATCATCATTCTCATTTTCCCTGGATCGCGGCTCGCTAACCCCATTCCTCAGCTACCTCATTTTGAAAGACAGGAACTAGCGACTCCATTCATCCTGACAATTCCGCGTCGCCGCCCTTCGAACGAGCCCTCCCAGCAGAGAATGATATCCTTGCTCAGCAAGCCCACTTGCTCTCTTGCTTGCCACGTTTGATTCGGGTCACGGTTCAACGGAGCAGATTTATGAGTGGCGGCGCCAACATGCTTCCGCAGAGGTCCGGATTCGACTAGCCTCATGCAGCTCTTCACACCCCACTACTTGGCATCGAAGATGTCCATAATCCCCCTAATTTCGGGCGATATTGTATATCGTCGGAATCTCTTATGTATTTCTTGGTTCGATACTTTTTGCTTCGATCTCACGAGTTCTGTTTCTTTTCTTTTCATGTCAAGTGATACCTCCTCATAGTGTTATGGGCGTGTCTCGCGTCTTTTCCGCGCGCGCCGGTTAGTTTTACCATGGGAATGACAGCTGTTTAAATGTCGCTTCAGTATTTTTTCCAAGACACCAAGAGTAGGTTAATACATACTCCGTAGTACTCATCTGACTGATGGGCGAACTGATTCCTGTGGAGACCGCGACGCATCATCCCATCCTAGGATGGCGGGCGACCCTATCGGATAAGACGGCTGGGGGTCATCGAGGGAATTGCTATCTACAACAACCCGCCCCGGAAAAAGGCAGCCCCCCCATGCATGATATGGCCGTTCGCTCGATGCCAATATTAATACACAGCTCGTTGGGGTTCAAAATGCGTTCAATTTCCATTTCAAGAGGCTCTGGCGCTTTCCAGAAGTCTCGGGTGACTCAAATACAGGGAAGATCTTGACCCGATATGAACAATCAAATCTTTCGACGTGATTTCGAGCCCCCAAAATGATTAACAAAGCATGATCGATCTTTTCAAAGACGTTTGAGATCACCTGAAACACCGCACGACGCATTGGCTTTTCGCGCTGACCTGGAAGCGCCCTCGTTGTGCCTCGGCGCGTACCCCCCCCCCCCGGCGCTTACAGCTGCACCATCCAACCAGCATCCAAAGAGCACAGCGCTTCACCTTCCCCGTTATTCGCCAAAGTTTAACAAGCCTAAGGGAACGATGTCATCTCGTTTCACCAGGGTGCCTACAGGTGCTCCGCCTCATCGTCTGTGTTTCAGAACCTCGTCGAATCCAACCTGTTTGGTTCCTTGGGCAGCAGATCAACGTCATGGCGAGGTTATGTTGCCTCGCGCGTAAATTCGAGATGCGCGAAGATTTGGTGTTTTTGGTTTTAATTAAGCCATGGCCACTCTCAAGGGCAAGTGGCTTTTCTTCCCTTTGCTTATATTTTTCCTTCTTACTAGTGCCATCATGCCTCTGGGACAATTTTCGAAAGAATAAACCGAATCGTTCACGAACAAATACGTACACGCATCGACCGATGATGGTAACCTCGAAGAACATATGGAATCGAGGGTAGTCACTCCCATGCATTATCAGTAAAGGTATGCTCCTGGTTGCGAAACACTGGCAACGTCTCCATACTAATTGCATAGAGGTATAGACTCACCACAGCATGATCCTCCATTCGATCTATATCCTCTCTGTGGGCCTCCTGTCAGTCGCCTTGGTCTCGGCAGATAATTTGGGTACCGCAAGCAATGACTCTTCGCTTTGGGACATGGTTCCGGACTGCGCCCGAACTTGTGTGAGCAACTTTATCGATGCGCAATATACGGAGAGTGGATGCCAGGACTCGACGGATATAAAATGTCTATGCCGGCACAAAACCCCCAGTGGGCTGACACTAGGAGAAGCAGCTTTGAGTTGTACATATGCGCTGTGTGATGACAAGACTATGAAGGACGCCAATGCCTATCGAATCTGCGACTCGGTGACCGGTGCTATTTCAGAAACCCACGCCACAATTACAGCAACCACGTTCCCTAAAATGACCACCACAAAGACTCGGCAAGCAACAACGACAACGAATAAAGATAGCTTAACCTCAAAGACTGCAAATGAAGCGCCGGGGATAACTACATTTGATCCAACAACAACAACATCAGACCCGAAATCGACCTCAACCTCAGATCAAGATCTGAACTCGACGCCAAAAGCCACTAGCCTGGAACACTCTTCTTCAAGTCCCAGCCAAACGCAGACGTCGCCTATATCCACTAATACATCCGAGCCAGAGGGCAATGGAGCCCATCATGGAGTTAGCGCGGGGACGGTCATTGGCGTTTCGGTTGCATCAGGTGTGGCTGGATCTCTCTTAATCGCCGTCGCCGTATTTTTCTGTTGCAAGCGATGGCGACAGCAGCGACGAAACTCATCCGAGCCGGACTCGGATTTTTTTGAAATTGGAGGCACCATGGCTGAACCTCCCGGGTTCTCAGAGGCATCTTCCCGACGATCCACACCAGAACCAGGCCCTGGCCCTGGGCCTTCTTTCAACCCTTCTAACAGGGAGCCAGAAATTTCAGAGCCTCAGCGTAACTTCCAGCCAGGATCGCAATATCCGCCGACATTTGCGGCCTTCCCAACTACTTCTTCCTGGGAGCAGGTGGGGCAAAGGAAACGAGAACGTATAGGATTTGCTGTCAGCTCTGCTTCGGATTGGGCAGATTCACCGCGATCGCAGGCATCACAAGCCCCATTCCCAGATACGATACCTAATCATGGGCCTGGGCTATATCCAAAACCTCTGAAATGGAGCCACCGGCCAACTAGTGGGGAAACGCTCTTCGAAGAGGAAGAGGAGAATCAAATTCCGAGCATCGTTGCGGCAGCATATCAAAAGCCTAGCATGACCCAAAAACCAGGGTCTCCGCGCCTTATGGCAGGATTGCCGGCAAATCCTCGAGCTCTGAAAGAGGGCTTTCCGGCAGATAGATTCCGTCGTGCCCCTGCAGGCCCTCAGTCAAACACCCACGATGATTCTCACTCTCAATATCCAATTGGTATTAAGCCCGTGTCCAGGGGAAGAACCCCAGCACCGCTCTATAACCCAAAAAACATACAGCGAGCCTCCTATACCTCAAATAGCAGCGGTACCCCAAACTATAGTTCTGACTGTTCCCAAGACACAACATCAAATACACTCCTCACAACGCCGGGAAGGCCAGATCCTATAGCCCGAAAACCATCACCAGGCACTGCAACACTGGCGCCCCCCCGCTGAGATTGTTTCACGGCCGCGTGTCGTCCGCGGTGATGATATCAAGCGTGTTCATATTCGAAATAGCCCTCGACCACGTCCACCAAGTGGGGGAAGCACGCCATGGGGCCCAGAAGATCTTTGGCTTCAACGTGGTCGTACTGATGCATCACCTCCACAAGCTTCATCCGAGCTCCCGTATCCATCTGAAAGGTGTCCTGGAGTGGTCTTTTACCCGTCCAGCCCGAAAAAAGTGCCTCCAGGCGTGCCACATGGGGTATCACCAACGGGAAGAAATTTGACACCGTCGAAGAGAGGAACTGATCTGATATTGAGGGTTGATTGAGATCCCTCTCTTTTGTCCTGTCCTGTTATTTACCCTTTCTCCTGTAAATTAAATTTGGTCTGTTTTTGTACAAAGCTATCTACATACTAGCAATGTGATATATGAAACTATTTCTGCTGATGAGCAGCAACCAATATCTAGGTATTAAGTTTTATTTTTTAGGCCTCATATGACAAAACAGCAAGATAATTTGGGTGGTCAGGAAGCCTGGGGGCTTTTCCCCCTGCACACTGCACTACTCCTACCTTCCATTGCACCGTCGGCTTCTAAACAGCCTGAAAATGCTATATATGCAGATTTAAACCTTGGAACCGTCCATGGACATTCCCCCAGAGATCTTCCAGTGACTTTTGTTCTAATTCCAGTCGGTGTTTGGTAATGACGGGAATGTGGTATTTGATGCGTTGGTTAGCGACGCCACATGCCGCTTCGAGCCGTCGACCACCATAGTCAACCACTCAGACCGTGTTCACTTGATGCTTTTCTTTGGGTGGAGTTCGTTCTCGCCTTCTCTCTGGGTTACTGACCCGAAGTTGAACTCTAGTAAGTATTTCATCCAATACTTTAGTTCCTGAGGCTGTTAGGTCAGCCAACGTGACTGCATGACGTCACGGGGTCGATCTGTCCCTGCAGCAGCCTGCCATGATTTGTTACTGCTACAAACTCGGGATACTCTGTACGGGCTAGTGATGGAAAGGAGTGATGTTTGAGCGCCCCTATCGGCCAGGCTTACTTCCTGAACCGAATCGTGAGCACTCTATGCTAGCACTATAGCCAGGATCGGAATGATTACGGCGAGGCCCATCATTACCCTCATGAGATTGACTTACTTTATCACTCAGTGCGCTCTACTCCGCACTCTCACACTTTAGACACTTGCGTCTCTTTTTTGTTGCACCCAAGGCACGCTGTATTGTGGATAGAGAATATTGTGGATAGAGAACACGCACGGTGTTGTCCCTCAAAAGTCATGACCCGGATAATGACGCTGGGGTCTGAACACATGGAGTGGGTCTCCTAGGATGCAGCCAGCGGTATGATCCTCGGTGAAAGGACACTGCTTGGCCTCAGAATGTTATATTAATGGCCTATTACCCCCCCACATGCTGCAACAGTCTAACTGGCTTTCGTCACGATTTGCGTCCATCTGTTCAGCCTTCCTGCGAGCAGTCTGCACATCAGCCACCGACGGCGAGGCTTAATCGAACCGTCAAGTCTACTAAATAGTAGCGAAGAATTCCTCCGGCAATACAATTATCGATAGGATTAAAGCCATTGTACTCCGTACGTATCGCTGGCAGTGATCGTCGGTGCCCCTGACCCGATTTGATCGACCCACTTATTCCCTGTTTTCTTCGCTCTTTCAACATGTCCACGGCCGATGCATTCGAGTCCCAGAGGCTCCGCCGAGATTCAAACCTAGACGCCGATCGGGCCGACCTTTATGGGGGTTCCAACGTCATAGCTCCTCCGAAACACTTAATAGACCCCAGTCGCAGCTCTAAATTTCATTCCAACAACACAATGGTGACCGATCCCGTTAGCTCTGATACCACTTCTTCATATGAGGGAGACTCTTCCCAAGTGACCACGCCCTTGTCAACACCGTCACCGGTCACAAGCAGCGACTTTGCGTTCGCATTCGATATTGATGGCGTCCTGGTTCGGGGTGGCAAGCCCATCCCGGAGGCTGTCCAGGCCATGAAGTATATCAATGGCGAGAATCCTTACGGGGTGAAAGTGTGAGTCTATTAGCTTCCCCATCTTGAATTCAGTATCGATGATACTAATATATAATCGAACCAGACCATACGTTTTCCTTACAAACGGCGGCGGCAAGTCTGAGGCAGAACGATGTGCGGATCTCAGTCGCCAACTCGAATTAGAGATCTCCCCTGGTCAATTCATTTGCGGCCACACGCCCATGCGCGAAATGGCGGAGCAGTACAACACTGTTCTAGTCGTTGGTGGCGAGGGCGAAAAGTGTCGCGGCGTTGCCGAAGGCTATGGCTTCAAGAATGTCATCACCCCCGGAGATATCATCAAAACACGACAAGACACCACACCTTGGCGCAAACTTACCGACGAAGAGCATGGGCATTCGCGCCTGATAGACTTGGAAAATACCCAAATCGAAGCCATCTTTGTTTTTGCCGATAGTCGTGATTGGGCTGGAGACCAACAGATAATCCTGGATATTCTCATGACCGTGGAAGGCAAGCTGGGCACCCGTTCAGAGGTCTTTAACGAAGGCCCACCATGCTTCTTTTCCCACAATGATGTGATTTGGTCCACATCCCATGAACACTCGCGCATCGGCATGGGTGCCTTGAAGACTTCTCTGGAAGCCGTGTACAACGCAATAACGGGCAAGGACTTGAATACCTTTGCTTTCGGCAAGCCCCAAATGAGTACATTCAAGTTTGCCACTCGGCTCCTTCAAGACTGGCGTCAGGACTCCCATGGCATTGACAAGCCCCCCCTCAACGGTGTACTTCATTGGAGACACCCCCGAATCAGATATCCGAGGAACCAATGAATTCAATGATAAAAGTGAGATTGATTGGTACTCGATCCTTGTCAAGACCGGCGTCTGGCAGGACAAGACCATTCCTCGCTACCCACCTCGCAAAATCTGCGACAATGTTTATGATGCCATCAAATTTGCGATCGACCGCGAGCAGCAAAAGTCGATAAACAGTGGTACTGCAATTCAGAATATTCAAAAGAAGAAAGCGGAACCTATAAACTAAGCTCTTTCTCGTCTCTTTGATGTTCTTTCTTTCAATTGAGTTAACTTGATCAAATATGCTTGGTCATATGTTTGATGTCTATTCCGCGATCTGACTTTGAATGATTCCCATACAACGACCAAATTATACACATCCTATTTCTGTTTCTTCGTTGTGGCCCGGGGCAGCCTTCCACTTAGCGGTGGACTTCTCAGATCACGTCGTCGAAGCAATTTACCTTTACCAGATGATGAAATGAAATGAAATGAAATATATAAACCACCTGTTCTTCCATGGCTGCTCTGACTCAAAGTTCCATACATATCAAAACTAGATCAAGAAGGATACCACGTATCATACGATAGCATTAAGAAATCAACAACCGATTTCTGCTCAATATTAATCAGATCCCACGGGGAAGTGCCTAAATTATCTCGAATCTCCGAGCTTTCTATCTAATAGCGAACTAGCAAACGTAATGACGTAAATGTCATTGCGAAAAATATAATATTTTAGCCCTTCAGGTGTCAGATTAATCAAACACATGAAAAATAAACCCATCTGGGTTAATACCCTTTCTCGCCCCTTGTCCTGTCCCCTCGCTACTAGTACACTTACTGTTGGGTTACAGGATATATGCGAGGGTCAAATCCGGGGGTGGAGTTGCGGTAATCGCGGCATTTAATTTACATTTATAGGCATTTGGAAAGTAATCACGTGGCACCTACTATCAATACTTCTAGATATGTATGATGTTGTATTAGGTGTAACTTTGTAAGTCTTCGCATCAACTTGATACGGTACTGTGTAGATCTTTGAGCCTGATATTCCGGGCGGTAACTCCGCCCTTAAGATGACATCGACCCACCGCGGGGAAAATGACTCCCTGCCTTAGATTGCTAGATTTTCTTAAAGGCTGAAAACAAATATCATACAGCCATCTCAGTTCTCCTTGGTCAAAAATGGTATGTCGCCCACTATCTGGTGGAAAATTCCAACTCACAATTAGACTAGGCTCAATGCACAGAGGCAGTATACCTCCACGATGCGTCTCTGAGAACTCTGACTACTGAGGTAATATCCTGTCAATCGATTTCGTCGCTCTCGGAAAATGAACAAAGTCTAGCCAAATCTCTCCCCCGGAAGATTCGGCAATAGTCATGCGCCAGACCATCTTGTATCCGCGTGGGGGCGGACAACCCAGCGATACGGGCACTCTTGCTCTGGAGCACCACGAGCCGACGTTCACGGTGTCTCTAGTCCGAAAATCACAGGATGGACGAATCCTGCACTTCGGCAAGCCTGTCAATGCCGACGCCATCTTCGTTGAAGGCCAACGTGTTATTCAAAATGTCGACGGTGATCGCCGAGACTATCATTCTCGCCTGCATACGGGAGGCCACATCGTCGGGCTTGCGATGGAGCTTCTCTTCCCCGATATGAAAAAGATCAAGGCCAATCATGCCCCCGGAGAAGCCTGCATGGAGTATGAAGGCCTGCTATATAATGAGCACAAGCCGTTGATCCAGGCAAAGGTGGACGAGCTGGTAAAGCAGGACTTGCCCATTCTCATCTCATGGGTAGAAGATGGTTCCGATCTAGAGGGTCGCGGCAAAAACCGCGAAGGCCCAATTCGCGTCGCAAGTATTGGTGGACTTGATCAGAATCCTTGCGGGGGTACCCATGTCGACCGGACCAGCTTGGCTGGGCCTATCACTATTCGCAAAATCGGTCGGCAAAAAGGGATTAGCCGGGTCTCGTACGAAGTTCCTGAGAAGATATAGACTTGTTGCCTGATATTAAAAATGGGTAGTTATAAATTAGGTTGTATCTGATGGTATATAGATATCCATGGTAAAGACGTTCCAAGTACGCGATATGTACTTTTAGCTTCCATGAATCAATGATGTAAAATTAAAATCTCATGGTGGTTGGCACTAGCCCCGCTAATAGCTTCGATTAAGAGTTAGAATATCAGATTAGATGACGAATTCTTGATCCAGCCAATGCTTCATAACGATTTTGCCCTCGTAGAAGCCGTCTTTTGGTGAGCGAACAATAATCGCTGCGTGGGTATGTCGGTGGTTGTGAATGTAGACGGGGTATTTGGTGAATCCCACATCATTCAAATTATCGATGATAGTAAATTGTTCAGGAGTCAATGCGAGTTTTGGACGGTGTGTGGGATCAACACTGGTACGGAGAGTCTTCTTGGATGACATTGAGCCAAATGGCGACTTGCTACGTTTCCCTGACTTTGAAAGCATTTGTCCTTTGCTTTCGGCCGGATCGGACATTTCAGATTCGGTGCTTGAGAGATAAGCTGGCTCCTGTTGGGCATTGGCATGTTCAAAGACCTCTTCAAGGGCGCTTTGAGCATCACGTATGAGCAAAGGTATCTTGTACCTCCCGAAGCGTAGCCCATTGTCTCCTTCCCCGTGTAATTTGATTCTTCGCTGGCTGCGGAAGGTTTGTATCGCAGAGTTGGCAAGGAATAATGTTGAGGCGGGGCCGATCAGAACGAGAACAAGCATCCAGAAAGGCGCATCCCTCATAAATGCTTTGTGCTTGGCGCATGATGTAGTAGCTACAGAGACCGAATCACTCGATACCGAGGGTAGCAAGTAGTCATTGGGGTCGATAATGACTTGCTCATAGCCATCGACGTAGTTGATATTGATATTATCCAGATCTTGGAAAGGATCCACTTTGGATAAGGTGGTCGTGTAGAATGCGGTTGTTCGGTCGTTTAGAATGTTGCCATAGGTAGATCGGTTCTGAAACTTTTTCAAGCCTTTGATGAAAATGCTCTCTGGGTCTGCGAGGACGCTCAGGAGGGGTCGACCAGTATCACGGAAAGAGTCGACCATGAACAATTGTTGGCCAGACATGGAGACTGTGCGAGCTCCCATCACATTCCAGAACTTGCCCCACCAGCCCTTTAGCGGTGCTCTCACTCCGACATGTGGAGAGGCGAAGGTGGTGAAGTTAACAGGCTCCACTTTGTCAAGCCAACCTTGAGCTTCTAATAGTCCAATGGCATATCGTGCGACAAGACCTCCAAGGGAGTAGCCGACAACGCTAATTCTTCGAATCTTCTGGCCCTCCTTTTCCAGGGTATCTAGCGTGTCCTCAATTTCGTGCGCTAAGCGCTCGCCGCCTAGCTCGATGCCGTCGTAGGTGAAATTGCCACTGTTTTCTTTGGCACAAAGGATATGCAACTTTTCGCCATGTCGTTCTCCGAGTGCGTTGGCTACTTGATCCAGGTGAGATGGGTTGCCCCACAGTCTGTCCCCCCGAAGTGATCAGTTTGGTTCACTGCTTACGCGCGATGACGGCGCGACGTCATTGGCGACGGTTGGGAATTAGAAGCTTACCCATGGACCAGAACACACAAATGGTCAGCTTTCGAAGAGGTGTCACTCATTTTTGCGTCAATCAAGTCAGATGTCTAACAGATGGGAAATGGAAAGGTAGGAATAGGGCGGGGGGCGAAGTAGTTAAAGACTTCGTGTTCCGGAGTTAAGAAATGGGCTTTGTTGCATCTCATCGCCGATTAAGCCCGTCGGACCTGATAAGAACGGGTCCCGATGGTCCCGACTCCGTGCCTCAGCCCCACTGCTTACTCAGCCTGCTCAGCCCCAGCCCCAGCCTTACTGCTTACTTAACGCTGTAATTGACTCCACTGCCGCCAACATCGGCTTTTAACACATTGGAGGCAACCCTAATAAAACTACTCCTTATTCGTTCTCCATCAGTTGTCGCTTAATATGAATATTCCATCATTCAAGTGGGAATATGCCCTTTCTAGATATTTAGATATAGACACACAACCCCTCCTCCTCTCTGCGCTCAATCCAATTTTGCACTTCCTCAGCCCTCCCTCGCACCGTTCTCCAGTAGCAGGTCTATAATCGCCCGCTTTTTCCATTTTTTAGCCCGCGACAGCGGTGCTCGGTGGTTTTTATCCTTGAAATTTGGGTCCGCACGGTGTTTGAGAAGACACTGAACAATCGTCGCGTCGTCCATTTCCACAGCCCGCAACAGAGGAGTTCTCCACCTAGGCGATCCTTTCAAGCAGTATCTTTGAATCCATTCTTCCACTAACATCTCAACATCTGCGAATGTCGCTTCAAATTCTCTTCTTCTCAACAATGTATCTCCCAATGTCGTCATTGCAATCTTCGCAAATGTTTTATATGAAGATCCTATCATTTTCAATGTCGATAAAGGTTGTCGCAAAGTTTCTCGTAGCAGCGTTCGCGTTAATCTCACTCCGTCATTCCATGACACATCTGATCTTAATGCCTCTGTGATCGCTGTCAACGCTGTCCATCTATAGATTTTGTAATGATAATCTGCCTTTGCACCCTCTTGGAGCAGTATGTCTACTACTGCCGTTTGTCTCCGTTCGATAGCCCAACAAAGCGGAGTCAGGCCACGAGAGTCTCTCGTGTCGATACCAAGGCTATATTGGCCTGCTCTTGTTAAAATGGCCTGCAATGCTCCTGCCATTTCATATATCGACAGAACGTGGACCAGAGTGGCCCCTTCTGGAGGACGTTCGGGGCTATCTGCGATATGCAATATCCTGTAGATATCCACCCATCGCTTGACAAAATCATTCGAGCGCCACGTGAATGATTCTGTGAGATCCTCTGCATAGATTCTTTTCCTATGGACCAACCACGACGTCGTGGCGTAATCTAGGAGCGGAAACCTGGCATTCATATCGTAACGATTCAAACCTTGTAACTGACCGAACTCCTCCATCCCCAAGTAGCGGATGCAGATCCTAGAAAGCCGGTCGTGTACGATTTCGGCCACCAATTCGCGTTTGGCAGTCCTACCCGGAGCTAAGAGACCCTTTTCGACGAAGAAGTCCTTGACGGACTGGTGGGTGAACTGGACAACATTCGTATCCAGTGTGATTTCCGTAAGGCCCCAGGTCAGCTGCTTAACTTTCCAATCCATCCATGTATCTTTGGACTCGTAACTCCCTGCGTTCTGGCACTCCTGTAAAGAATTGTGTGCGCAATCAGCCTCGACGAGCATAGCCCATCGCAGCTCGGTCAACGACAAGGGCCGTATGGCAAAGCAGATCCATTGGATGAGTTTGAGGGAGTCTTGGTTCATGCTCCGAGTGAGTTCGCCGTATAGGTCATAAAGCTCTTGGGGGACTGAAAGGACCTCAGACTTAATATCCTCTGGTCCGACACCTTTTTCCACAAGTTCCAGGACTTTCTTCACCACAAGGACCGCCCACAAGAAAACGCCGTTGGCGCGACTTGTGACCAAATCCGGAATCGTGGAGTCCCATCGCTCGCGAAACCAATGGAGCTCTTTTTGCACGAAAGTGGATATGTCCGTGCTATTTTCGTGCTCCATGTGTATCTCAGAAACGTCAATAAGGTCCAGATTCGGGTAGTGACGACAAGTGAAGCAGATCCGAAGCCGTTTCGGATAGTCACGGACATTCCAGTTCAAGGACTTAAATCTCTTTGCTAGCTCGACTGCGTTATCTTCACCACATTCGTCTAAGGCGTCGACGAACAACCAGACTGGGCAAGTCTTCAAGGCTTCCGAAAGCGATGATTCGAATAATTCCTGCAGCTCCTCTTGAACCCACTGCCACTCTTCGCCGTACTTATCAGCAGCTGCGGTTTTTTTATTGAAAGTAGCTTCGAATCCATCCAGTGCCTTAGGAAGCTTCTCATTCAACTGGCAAAGGAGGGATCGGAAGAGACCTGAAGGTGTCTTTTGGAGTTCAGTGCCACGACCGTGAAAGAAGAACGAGAGAACGAGCGGTTCATCTCCAGACCTCGGTAACCCCTCGGTACGGCTGCGAGCATAGCGTATCAAAGTTGACTTCCCAGAGCCAGGCTTCCCTTTGATACAGAGCGGATTTCGATTATTAGAGGCCCAGCTACCGTACGCCTTATGTCGAAGTAACCACTCGCACGTTCCCGCTGCAGCGGTTTGAATTTGGGTGGACCGGCTGTCCATTTCCGGGAAAACCAGTGATTCCAAACAATCTGGCGAAAGACCTGACTTTTCCAGTCCAGGATAGTAATGTTGTGTAACTGAACCAAAATATGCTGTACCCGATCCCATATTTTGATTGTGATTTTGACCGTAAGTATTCCCCATGACATTGTCATCGGAGCTAGAATGGATCTGACGGACAGATTCCTCATTCGTTAGCGAAGGCTCCATGTTGATCAGCTCCTGAATGGACTTGGTTGCAAATCCTGCCCAGGTGGGCTCCGGTTGCTACTTGGACTATGCGGTGTAAATTGGAGAGGTGAGGCGCTCGAAGTTGTTGATTTGCCACTAGCAGGCCGGTGCCTTAGTCTTACTTGGCAGGTAGAATGAAAGGGTACGGCATGCCCTCAAACAGCACATATAGTATAAGAAGGGGGAGGAACTATGGGGAGGCAGGGTATAGGGGAAGGTGAGGCTGAGAAGTTGTCCACTGACAGTCACCTCAACACAGGTCATAACCCAAGTCAATTTGCGCCATCTCGTTTGTGATACGGAATACTTGGGGGCCACTTGAATGGCTTGACACGTGTGGGCCACCCAAGTTTGGGGGCCATCATGAAATGATTCGACTTGCTGCCTCCTGGCAGCCGATGTGGAACTGCGGGATTTCCGCATCAGCAGGGTTTATTCAAATACATATGTAGTAAGGGGTTACGAGGAAGTCACCTATCATGTACGCCCAAATAAGCTCCTTAGTCCCTACCTACCGCCTGACAAAATCGAGGAACGAAGTCCTTAGCCGGGGCTGTTACTTTTCTCAAATTAAAGATAAGATGCCAGGGCCGAAATTCTGTCATCTGTGTTACAACGGCCAGGGACTACTATTACGTGTGAAAACACTACGTATAGGCGGTGGCTAGGCGTGTTGAACCTCCTGATTCAATATTCTGGTCTTTTTGGACGAGTGGCTTAGCCTTGCCTTGCCCCACTCGGTCCATAACACCGTGACATGCCTGGGGCCGAAACTGCAGGCAAAGTCTCCAATCACAGCGAGGACGACGTGGAGACATGCAGCGGATTGGAGACAGGCAGTGGCTTAGTGACTGCCTCGCCAGTGTCGGATGTTCCCTGATCGCTATTGGGTGCAAGATGAGACCTGTGAGAGAAGATGAGTCGGGGCGGTTCGATGATCATCCTTCTACCTGGCAGAGAACGCCCAGCTTATCATGCGCAGAGCTGGGAATGTGTAGTGTGAAACAACGACTTATAAGATCCTCTCGATTCCACGTTGATCTTCCCTTACCCACAGCCTTGTCTTTGTACGTCTGTCAGTACATGCTGTATCCTCTTCGGACATTGTTCCTAGCACCGCGGCTTCTTCCTTCCCTACCAGGTAAGGCATAAACACCAGTACTTCAGAGACTACTAGTCAGCTCCTAACACTTCCCGCAGATTCTATTTACGATAATCAGAATCCAAATCAATTTCACATGACCAATGTCGGGCATTGAGGTTGTGGGCCTCATCTCTGCCGTCGTAGGGATCCTAACGGCCATTAACGATGTGTACGACGGCCTCAAGGATGCTGCAAATCTACCGGAGGCAATTCGCAAGGTGGCAGAAAGGCTCCCACTAGTTCGGAGCATACTCGAGTCTGTTGAAAAACACATTGCGAGTCATCCCGACGAACAGGCCTGCCAGGCCATGGAGACGGTTGTGAAGAAGTGCAAGATCAACGCAGAACGTTTACAGGAAATATTCAACGCCGTTGCTCCCTCGGAGCCTCCATCTAAGCGCGACCGCTATCGTGCGATCGTGCGGGGTTGGGGTAAAGGACAGATGGTGGAAGTCTTGGCCAAGGAGATGTTGGATGACGTGCGACTCCTAGCAGAGAAGCACGCGGTTGGAGCAGCAAGTGAAACCCAGATTGAGCAACTCCAGAAAGCTATCGAGGAAATCTCCAAGCTAAGCCCTTCTCTGCCGAACGAGGGCTCTGTCACTCAGAGCCACTCAGGCTCAGGTGACAACATTACGGGGAATAAGTATGGGGGTAATCACAATGTGAGTCAAGGCTCTGGAACTGTATACTTTGGCAATGTTTCACAACATGGTGTGAAGTAGTCACTAGAAGATCAGGTTGTTGCAAAGTACCTTTTTTATATCTGCCATATACTCCACCCGGGATTTCTTCTGTTGATGCCTTGCTGCCTGTTAAATTGGGTGACACTATTGATTCTTAGCAATTCCTTGGATCCCCCGTTTACAGTGGCAACACTATGTACATACATACACTCCATATAATCTGAGACCTCCTGTTGACAACCTTTAGTCCCCGCCTCCTATGCTGGATTAGTAGATACCTTAAGTAGTATAGCTTGGTCTATCACTTCCAGTTTTCAGTAGTACTAGTGCCTAACCAATCTATTATCTTAAGAAGGCGACAGGGGATCTCAGAAGTTAGCTGTGCCACTGGAAATGGAAAACTACCCCTCAGTAGTAGATCAGGCACTAGGGCTGAAACCAGTGGTTTAAGATACACAGTCACCTAAGATGAAAGGCTTCTCATCCACGCGGCAGGAGCGCGACGTTTTCCACCTGTCAGTTTTTATGCGAGATGGACTGTTCGTGACCAGAGCGCCAATCGAGAGGATGTGAATCAAAGATGCGGGGCGGGTCGCGGGCTGCCGCAGCCTTGCCGCAGCCTCCTACTAGTAGGTACGGGGCTTGGTCAGGCTGAAGTACGAGTAGCTCTGTCTGATATAAGACCTTGTGCTGTCCCATCTGGCGCCGGGCCATTCTCAGGATTACTACCTATCTTCGTCTCAACCTCACGTCCTGCCTGCCACCACCTGGGCACTGGCACTGCCATACCATTTTCTTTATATTTATTGTCACAATGCGGACCTTTGAGAGCAAATGTACACTCCCTCCAGAGAGTGCTACGAGCACTTTTGTTTCTTCCCCCAATACTCGTGGGACCTTAGACATTCTCTGGTCTTGCCTCAGTGTGCTTTTCCTCTGCACTTGGTCTGTCCTTCATCTCAATGTGCCGACCCAGTATACTCCAATCACCAAAGGCCAAAAATATGGATTGAAGTTATCAATGGTCGTGAGAAAGTTCAAATGGATGATTATCAACCTTCTAGCACCCGAAATTATGCTAGGGCAAGCTTGGAGCACTCGACGCTCAGTAGCTCTCCTTAGTGGCCAGTTTAGCGAGTATCAGAGGAAAGATGGTGTGCCATGGAGCCGCTCCCACATCTACTACGTGAATATGGGGGGGATTCGCTATTCAATTTGACGAGTTGTTGAATGAGCCAGAATTTCCTCTGCAAAATGTGGAGCCCTATAAGTCGAATCTCGCGTCTAGCTGTATTCCAATACCACCCACTAGGTGGTATTGTGAGACTCCGAGCCCAAAAATGACGTGGAAGACTGGTCGCGCTCCACCGGGCTATCGGCCATTGCCGTGGTCTGCACGAGTTTCCTTGGATAAGTTGGCTCAAGATGGCTATTATAGCCCAGAGCTTCTCAGTAGACCGGTGAGAAACGTGAAAAGGCCAATATTCGGATTGATCAACTGGGCACCTGACAAATACAACACTCGGGCTATGAGAATGGCAATTAGTATGGTCTCTCTAGACCATTTTGCCGATGAAAGGGAGCAAAGATGGTTTCTTCGCAACAGTGAAGATTGGTTTTATAACATCGCTTACCTCTGTGGAAATATCTGGGTGCTGGATGCAAACCAGCTTCTCCTTGCACGCAAACTTGGGATTATCGAGAAACTGCCTTCGCTATCTCAGAGCTCACTGGATGATCGGAATAAAGGTAATTTGATTGTCACAGTTCTAGCACTGGCTCAGATATTGTGGCTGGTCATCCAGCTGTTTTTACGTTGGACTCAAAATTTCCCCACAAGTCAACTTGAGATAATCACTCTTGCCTTTGCAATCTGCTCGGTCATCACATATATTCTGCTGGTTGATAAACCAAAGGATGTTCAGACATCATGCACTATGACAGCCACCAAACGCGCATCCGCTGAAGATTTAATACTTATTGCAAACGCTGGCCCAACAGCATTTTTGTCATATCGTGAGAAAATATGGATTCCTAGTAGCTCCATTCATCGAGACTCCCACAATCGAGATCAGACGATGTTCCTGGGATGCATATTTGCATTGATTGTCTTTGGCGCCACCCATTGCTTTGCATGGAATTTCAAGTTTCCAACAGATATAGAGAAAACATGCTGGCATATAAGTTCGGTTATAACGGCTAGTGCTTTTTTACCGATGTGGGCTCTCCTTTACAAGATATACACACTCCACGAGTCGCAACCAGAGGCGTCCTATAACAGAAGACATAAGGTAACGCAAAGAAAGATTGGTGCATTATATTTGGGCCTAGGATTCATCGGATATGTGTTTATTTTTGCGAGGCTGTTCATATTGGTTGAGGCTTTCCGCTCTTTGGCTTTTCTTCCACCGGGTACTTTTTCGAATACTGAATCAGCTGGCATACCACATGTCGGTTAAACTTAGACTTACATTCTGACTTCAAGTTGTGAGGGATTCGGTATGTTGAGGTAGAATTGTGAATTCAATCATTCACTGGCACATGGGTTTTATAAAATGATAGAAGAGAGAACTTGAATGAAATTGGGCTTCTTTATTAATACCTAGGAAAACATCATGATCCCAACAGACAACAGATGAAAACAAAAATACTAGTAGTAAACAACTGGCCCAGATGATCCAATCAAAGCAGAGTCATTGGAAAGAAACTTGAATAATATACCTAGTACTAGTAGTTATCATATCTCGGTAGATTTGGACGGAGACAAGATAGGTAGAAAAGGGCGGAGGGAATGGCAATACATTGAACCTAATTATATTAAACTTTAATGAGTTTTAGCATAAGTAAAGCCAATCCAGTCAAATTAGGGGTAGAATGAACACAGGCCCCCTAGCTGCACTGTAACACTCAATAACTACCTAATCTTTGGTGCTGACTAAGGATCCTACTGAGCGCGCCCCACCGACCTAACACTCCCTGCCAGTGGTTTTGCTACCCAGGCCATTCCATTCATTGATGACGGCTCGGGATTTCTGCAGCCAGCCAAAATTTTCATTCTAAAAGACATCTCGTCAACCTTCCATTGCGGCATTGCCCATCACATCCCCGCTCATCGCATCCGAAGTCGGCGGGCACAGTGTTTATCTGATTGTTCGCGGGGCCAGACCCTACCTTAAGGTACCCTACAGGCCGTGATAATGCTGCTTGCGATCTAAACCAAATCACCACGCAAGCTTCGGGGCGCCTGTTTTCCCTCGCAGTGGGGTTTATTGGACATATGCAACATCATACACTACATCAAGGATGAAAGATAGTGCTTCCTAACTCTTGAGTTCAACCGACCTCCTTCTCAAGAAGGCCTTCTTGACCTGAAAGTCATCATTCTGATTAGCGGCATTCAACATGTTTCAACCACTTGGTCTATTTGCCGAAATCCCTTGTCCTCAGAAGCAAGAATGTGCTCTCTTCACATGCATGTTCAACCACGATGAGCGCACCTTGGCGACAACCAGCAAGCCCTCTAACACCGCCGCCATCCTCAGCGATGAAAGTGGGCATGTCTCTAAGAAACAAAGGTTAGGCGAGGCCAATTCAGTTCAGGGGCCGCCCTCTACTTCTCTCGGAAACCAGCCATCTGCGAAACTACCATCGAAAGCCACCCTGCAGACAATGGGTTCAAAAACTCCATCCCAAGTTACTCGCGGTGACGGCATTAAGCTGCCATCAGCCTCTCGGGACGTTTCGCCTCCACCTCGAGCTATGTCAGAATATAGGCCCGCCAGGCATGAAGCTTCTGTTAGCAGCCCCACGGCCGCCTCTCCGGGGAACACGTCAACGAAGCTCCCTCCTCGAAAGGTGCCGAAGGAAAGGTTGAATCCTCGTATGCTCACCAAAGCCCCAGCTACCCATGCCGTTCGGTCTGCCATCCTGAACAAGCTTCACGGTGCCATGTCAAAGCTCAATACGAATTTAATCAATTCCAAAGATGATTCAAACAAGTGCTTTGTTCTCAATCAAGATGAACTTGTGACTATGGCCTTGGATGAAGAGGAAAAAGTGGCACGCGATCATTACAGTGTTTATTCCAATATTATCAAACTCCGCATTGTCAAATTGACAAAAATGAAATTGGAAGAGTGGACCGATGAAGTGAAGACCCATCTAAACACCCGCTATTACAAGATCAAGCCCGCTCAGCCTACCCAGGCCGCCCCAACCTCAGCCTCCATTGACACCGGCCTCTCCGTCAAGGAGGAAATAGCCATCGCTACTCATCTCATCACGCCGCTGAACGGTCTCGAAGAATATGGCTATGTCACAAAGGTACCCCCAGAAGCAGCCATAGAAACGGCCAAGCAAGGTGTATCTGATTCGAAAGGCTGGGAGAAATGTGAACGATGCGGTGGGCGATTCCAGGTTTTCCCCGGTCGTCGCGAAGATGGGGCACTGGCGTCTGGGGGTCAGTGTACTTATCACCCAAGCCGGCCATTCCATCCTCCTCGCAAGAGGACCGACAACGTCACCGGTTCCTCGGAGACATACTTCCCCTGCTGCAGCGAGACCGTGGGTACCTCATCCGGATGCACCAAGGCCAACACCCACGTTTTCAAAGTATCAGAGACCAAACGACTGGCATCGGTACTTCAATTCAAGGCTACCCCCGCTCAGCCTGAGAAGGGACGAATGGATCCGGTTTCTTTCGACTGTGAAATGGGATATACGACCCTAGGCCTAGAGCTCATTCGCCTCACCGCTGTCAGCTGGCCAGAAGGTCGAGAGCTAGTTGATGTCCTTGTCAAGCCCATGGGCGAGGTGTTGGATCTGAACTCGCGTTTCTCGGGCGTTTTCCCTGAGCATTATGCCTCCGCTGTACCCTACGGTACCCCGATACCTAACGCAGCTTCATCAGATAGTCAACTGGGAAAGTCCAAATCTATGCAAGTTGTCGAGTCACCCGCCGCGGCACGAGAAATTTTATTGAACCTTCTTCAACCGGATACGCCATTGATCGCGCACGCAATAGACAACGATCTCAATGCTTGCCGGATCATTCACCCCACCGTCATCGACACGGTGATCCTCTACCCTAACCCGGCCGGTGGTCTCCCTCTCCGTGTTGGTCTGAAGGCTCTTGCCCGCAGATATCTTGAGCGCGACATCCAAACTGGAGGGAACCAAGGTCATGATTCAAAAGAAGATTCCATCGCAACGGGAGATCTTGTGCGAGTCAAAGTGCGGGAATTATGGAAGCGTATCAAGGCAAAGGGATGGAAATTTGAGAATAACGAACTGATCCCACCGGCTGGCGAAGACCTCAAAAGTCTCCAAGAACACAAGATAGCGATGAGCGTTGGTCCGGGTGCTGGTTTTAAGAGAAAAAAGCCTCCTACCTGATCTGTTCCCCAACCGTCAGCACCGAGGGGTGACTTGGGCTTCTATAACCGAATACAAGAAAAAGAAGCGCGAGACATTATTTTCTAGTGCCATGCTATCGAAAAATCTATAGCACAACATATACTAATATTACTACTCGTACTACTGATAGGATGCCTTTTAAGTTTTCGAGGATTGGCATCTTCATCCGAGTATACACTACTAGTATTGCTATATTGGTAGTATGTGACAAAATGTAGATATCATTAGCATGCATACCTACCTAGGCAAGTCATAACTATTCCAACATGGAGGGTTGAGTTTAGCATTGCAAAGACTACTATGTAGTACTAGTATAAAATAACGGTGGGTCCATGGAAGCATTGCATCTGGGCAGATGTGCCAGCCTTGGAACCTGAGAATTACGTGTAGAGCAAAGGCGAAGTCAGGTTTCGTTTTGGAAATAAAGCTCTACGACATACAGCTCGGAAATCTACGTGCTCCGCTAACAATGGGAGACAATTACTAGAACGAACTAAGAAAGAAGAAACGGGTATAGAAGGTATGAACTTTTTTTAATTTCGTAGCCTCACGGGCTAGTCGTCCAAAGCCCATGGAGCGCATTTACTCCTCATCCTCCTCAGCCTCGTCGTTGACGACGTTGTAGAAGCGGAGCTCGTAAACACCCTTGGAGGTGGAGACGACGCGGAGCCAGTCACGGAGCTGCTGCTTCTTGAGGTACTTCTTGGTGCTGGAAAAGGGAATGGTGGTCAGCGGGCTGCCGGGTATAATATGGAATCGTATGCGCAGAGGGAGAAACTCACAGGTACTTCAGGTAGCGGCCGGAGAAGGGGATGTGGGCAACAACCTCAACCTTGCCATCGCCAACCTGGGAGATGACAACCTTGTCACCGAGGTTACCGACACGGCCCTCGACCTTGATGCGGTCGTGGAGGAACTTCTCGAAGGCAGAGACATCGAAGATCTTGTCGCTAGCGGGCTGGGAAGCGTTGATGATGAACTGCGGAAGTGCGGTTAGTATCTTCGCGCCGGAATGGGTTGGATTGTACATTGTGCAAGTTTTGACATACCTTGTGGGTGACCTTCTGGGCCTTGCGACCACGGGTCTATTGAATAAAAGATTGAATTAGCCTACTGCTCCATAAGGTTGGAATCCCCATGGCAGTCTCGAGGAGTCTTCCTTAGCTCGACGCAGCGACATAGATAGATCTTTCAATATCTAGTATCGGAGGTCGGAGAGCCAAGTAAAGAGACCATCGAGGCCTGCCCACGGGGGGGAACAGCAAAGCGGTTCGCAGTATATTTCAACGTACAGCAGCGGGAGCCATTGTGACTGTGAGGGGGATGGGTTGGACTTTGGTGAAAAGGGTCGCAAAGAGGTGAATATCCTGCGCCGGCGAGAGGGATGGGGAGAAGATCTCGCCGAGTGGAGCCCACTTGCGACATGAAAATTCGCCAGCGCCCGCGGAGGGTTGTGTGCGCTATTCCTGTTTTGGATAGAGTTAGGGCAAGGGCAGCAGTCAGCATGTGTCTTGCTTTGAGTCAGGTGACTTGATATCAGTTTGCGGAGGGTCCATTTTAAGATCGCTCTGATTGGCTCGCATAAACCAAGCTAGCGCAGCAGAATCCCACAACTGACCGCCCTGCCCCTTGCCCTGGGGGTATAAAGCCTTTCTCCCTCCCGCGTCATTCCTCTTCTTCTTTTTCTTTTCCAGCTCTCTTTGCCAATTGGCTTAGATCAAGTGTAGTATCTGTTCTTTTCAGTTTAATCTCTGAAAGTTTTCCAATGGAAAACAACTTTGATTATTCTCATTTTTGGATCACGCGGCTTGGCCTCTGTGCTTGCGCATGTCTCGCCGCACCGTGTCATCGGGCTTACACTATCTCCGATCGACGCGAACACCCTTTTCATCAATCTTGTCGGCTTGTCTGACTGCTTGGAGAAGACTGGGCTGTTTTATCTTCTGGTGTCTTTTATCAGTTGAAAGTAAATAGTAGTAGCAAACAAGTATTATGCGTAGGCTGTTGAGTATACCCCGCGACTGAATCCTCGTGGTTTCACTCAAGGGCTGTTTCTTCAACTTGTTACTTAGTATATACAGCAGCACACAAATCTCAAGACAAACAAACCGAGATCCATGGATGTAATCGTCACATCCTGTATGCCTTAGACCAGCCAGAGTGCTCATGGAGAGTTCTGATTTCGTAAACTGGCGCTAGTGTCGAAATGAATATGTAGTCACGTGAGCGCGCTTTATCGTGAGGTGGGACGCGCGATAAGCTCAAGCTTCTCCAACAAATTGAAGTCCCCCAATTTTCTCAGCTACGAAGCGCCTCGTGTCTGGCTCATCTTTCTAACTCCCCTCGTCATGGGCTCTATTGTTCTCCCTCACCTGCGCACTGCCTGGCACGTGGACCAGGCCATTCTTTCGGAGGAAGAGCGCCTCGTGGTGATCCGCTTTGGTCGTGACCACGACCCGGACTGTAAGACACCTCCTTTGTGTCATGATCGCAACAAGAACTAAATTTCTGTGCACAGGCATTCGCCAAGATGAACTGCTCTACAAGATTGCCGAGCGCGTCAAGAGTACTTCACCCATCCGAATTTGCCTCTCGAGGAGAAGACCGGAATGCTAATGCACATTTTAACAGACTTTGCGGTTATCTACCTGTGCGACATTGACGAAGTACCCGATTTCAGCCAGATGTACGAGCTATACGATACAATGACAATGATGTTCTTCTATCGCAATAAACATATGATGTGTGATTTCGGAACGGGAAACAATAACAAGTTGAATTGGGTGCTGGAGGACAAACAGGAACTGATCGACATCATTGAGACCATTTATAAGGGTGCGAAGAAGGGTCGGGGTCTCGTCGTCAGTCCTAAAGGTACGGTCTTCTCAACCCTCCGCGTAATGATGCTTCAGAGGCTAATCGCTTGCAGATTACTCTACAAGATACAGGTACTAGACATAGTGGTACTTGAGAGGGCCTTTCTAGGAGGGCGGTGGCACTAGATGTGCTTCTATCATGGAGTTCTTCCCTATTATGATGTTTACGATAGACACTGCTCGAAATGAGCTAGCAAGCAAATAAAAATCAATACCTGTGCTTTGCGATTGCTGCCCGACGACCTTGTGACGAAGGCTGAGGGAAATCTACAATTAGCAGCTCAAATGGGTTTGAACGACAATCCCAAAAAATACGAGAGACTGGCTCTTGCACCGGGACTTAAAAGCCTTCTCATATGGCTATTCGCCGGAATTTCAGTGTGATTTGGTCATCTCCACAGTAGATAATAGGAAAGGTTTCGAAAGCCATTCATTCTGCGTAGCACATTGTGAGGTATTTTTGAAGATGCACTTTAGTGCCTGAGGAACTAGAATTCCTGAACTATCCCTATTGTCTTTGTTAGCCATATGCCACATGGTGGTTATTTGCCTGGATTTTTGACGTAAGGCGCTCAACTTCAACACCGACTTCAACCCGCCGCAACATCTCAACGTCATTTTCTTTTCATTTCACTTTCCAACCCCAGACAACCCGCGAAGATGATTGACCAACGTATTTTCGAGGATCTCCAGACGAAGATCGACGAGGAGACCACCGTTCGCGATGTAAGTCGCCCGCGGCCGCGCCTACAGCGTGCTGGTCCACGGATTTTTTCCGTGCCAAGCCTGAAGCCGTTGCGCACAACAGTCATGGGAAACTCACCTTTATGAACAGGAACTGCACGACATTGTCCAGACGCTCGCGCGAAAAGGTAATTCTTGATCATGATTCACGTTGGGGCCTCTATTCTGGAGATTCTCGCTCCAAGACTGAAGGGCCGATCGAGTTATGTGCGGCTCCGTCAAATCAAGAACGGACACTAATGAGCGATTTCTGTAGGGCGCTCGACGCAAGCTATCCTCGCCAGGGCGCACTCGACTCCCAGTGATAAGTGTATGTTTCAATAGATCGTGTTATGGTGGCGGAACTTCCTCCCTTCAACATTTCCCCTCATCCACCCCTGCCTTCCGGGTATGGCCTCTAGGACTTGAGCGTGGCTGATATGACGACAATAGTGCAACCCGTCCTTGACGACGCCACCGCCAGCATTATTGCCCAGAAAGATGAAGTCGCTCGCTTGAGAAGTGTTGCCGATAAACACCCATTCTACAAGTACAATGGAGTGTGGTCGCGCGAACTCCAAAATCTGGTTCGTCCGACCCCGAGCTGTCAACTCCTACATGATACTAACTTGAACATCTAGGTCGCATCGATTGAGTTGTGTGCTTGGCTTGGTGGACTTCCAGAGCACAAGGGCACAGACTCGGCTTCATTCATGACTATCGAAGACGTGGGCAAATTCCTGGATGGTATGCTCACCCCATTCTGCCATGATTTCGGTATCGATTTAGTTTGAGGAGAGACTTACGGTGTTGTTTTGTCACAGTCCCTATCAACCTGAAGGAACAAGATGCGTTCCACCTGACCATCGAGGAATATCTCCTGGCCCTGATTGCCATGGTCGAGGAACTGGTCAATATCCCCCCCTCCCCAACGACTGTCTAGAGCCATCTTGTCTAACTTTCCACAGTCTCGCCTGGCAGTTAACTCCGTCACTCTGGGTGACTATGAGCGGCCTCTTCGGATCGGCAACTTCATCAAGGACCTCTTTTCTGGATTCCAGCTTCTCAATCTCAAGAATGATATTCTACGCAAGCGCAGCGACGGCATCAAATACAGCGTCAGTCATTTTCTTGCTGGATCCACTTTCGTAACAAGATACTAACTCGCTGTTCTACCTACAGGTCAAGAAGGTCGAGGATGTCGTCTACGACCTTTCATTGCGTAACCTGATCCCCAAGGGTGGTGCCACCGCATAAGGCCGTCCAATATTTGATGGGAATGGGATTTAAGGAAGATCTAAAGATAGGGCAAATCCCACCGGGCCACTTAAAAGGACAGGGGAGGTGATGTTCCGATTAAGCAACAGGCAATACGAACGG